CAGGGAGGTCACGTCTATGACAGCATTGGAGGAGAATGTCTTTGATACCTGGCATGTGGACCGCATCGTTTGTATTGGTGACAGCATTCACAAGGTAAGATCAATAACCCTGGCATTACTGGAGAGCTTCGCATAACACCTTATTAGATGACGCCAAATCTCGGACAAGGTGCGAATACTGCAATCGAAGACGCCGCAGTCTTAACCAATCTCTTGTATGACAGGCTCTCGAAGAATGGGCGAAAGAAACTCCTACGGCCAGCGCTCGAACAGCTTCTTCGCGAGTTCCAGTCCGAGCGCTTCAGCCGTGTCAACAAGATCTATCAGGATTCCCGATTCTTGGTCCGGCTCCATGCACGAGACGGAATTGTTAAATCTCTTCTTGCACGATATATAGTCCCCTATATGACAGAACTCCCGGCGGATCAAGCTTCGAAGTCCATTGCTGATAGTCCTATAATTAACTTTCTCCCTGTTCCATCGCGCAGTGGGCCTGGATGGTTGCAGTGGAGTCGGAAGGAAAGAAGATCTCCTGCCTTGTGGATACTAGTACTCCTTGTGATTGTGGTCAGCTTCGTCCTGCACTCGCCCAAGCTTGTTATTCCAACATTCTGGAGCAATTCACTGATTTCTGAACCGGTTGAGTAACGCTAGCTAGGGCTTTATAGGTTAATCGGTACATATACGAATAGACCATCGTAAAAACATAGGACCTTGGTAGCTTTCATCTATAGACACTTGGACAGTTCATCCTTGGCGAGATAATACACGGTCGCTTGTTGTATCTGGCATGGATACAACGCTGGTAGTAATGTATGTCAGCGGACTGAGACAAGTGTCCCTGGAATTCTCCTCTATACTATGGTGTGTGAGCACGATCTGGTAGCTACGAGCGCCTTCATCGTCTGAGCGCATACGCGTCAGCATGGTTTACTTTTTATGAAATTCATGATCATTCGTATCTGATGGTTTCATAGTATTTCACTTGCCCATCTCAAACCGGGCTTTCACTGCTCGTAATGTGAAAATCACGCCGCACATTAATCTGATACTGGTATTCTGAATCCTTTGGTAGGATCAACTCGTGATCTGATAGTTCATCTTCAGTTCCAACACTCGACGACGTCATCCCCGGTCCAGTCTCGATGGGTGTACTCGCACGCACATTTCCTTTTAGTCTATACTGTCGCTCTTCTTCCGTGGTCATGAGAGAAGAGAGCGGCAGGGCGTTGCTCCGCTGGAACGACGAGTTGGGCCACGTACGCGATCCTGGAGCCGAGGGAGTAGGTTTGTTATATGATCGACCGGTTCCCGGACGGATCATTCGTAGCAGGGGACGGAGGGTCGCCAGACTACCGGCAAAGATTCCCAGCCCGGTTTCAATGTTGGACCACACTGCGATACCAACGGTAGCGTCTAGAGAATAGTCGTCAGTAGGTGTTCGTATCAAAGTGCTCCAACCATGCGACAAGACACGGTATGAGGAGATTGCAGGAAGTCTTACATAGGAAGTCTGGGTTTCGAAGTGTCTCGACGTATGCCATCCGGACAAGAACTGCGACGGAAGCACTAAAACATGCGTGTTAGAAGACTATGCTCGTGGGCTGTCGAGGAAGTTGTGGTGACATACATGCAGGCCATGCCTAGAAGACCGGCGACGGCAAACTTCAGATCACGACGCATCTGCAGATTGCGAACGACGAACACGGGCAGAACCCCGACGGTTAGGTCAAAGATAAAGGACACCGCGCTGAAGATATACAAAGCCACGATGACCACGGTCATGTTGATACACGACCCGGAAACTGGGTTTTCCGTAGATAATCGCATCCAGAAAAACTCCACTGGTTTACACTGGGCGAGAAGGAGGATCCAAAACATCAATCCAAATATCACCGCCAAAGTGGTAACCACATATATCACGGTCCGTTGAATTTTGTCCACGGTGACACGCAGGAGGAATATGCCGACGGAGATCTTGCACAGTATGGACGAGAGGCAGTAGGCAACATCACATAAGAACCAGTACTACGTATAGTGTTAGCACCATAGGATACCTCTCAGTCTAGGAAGCCCGGCAGAAGAAGCTTACTTCCATGGCGGTTGTTCTCTGATGATCTGTTAGTTCAGTAAGGTGCTTTCCGGTCCCGTATAGGCTTCCACCGATCATGCACCCGGAAAACATGCCAAAGAATCCCTGTTCCAGCAAAAGAAAAAAAAAAAAAGTCAGAAATTCGTTATGAAACTCCTGTTCAACTATGGCAACAAAGACGTACCAACGCCAATAACATGATGACATCATCCCAGCCGAATGCCTTCACAATCACCAGGCGTACATAGCATCGGAGAGCCGTAGCCACTGTAGCTAATGCAAGAAAGACCGCCGCAACTGCTCGGACCTCTAGGCTTCGATCTTCGGCCATCGTGAGTCCCACTGACTGACGGTTGCTACGCACAGTTGATTCAATATCCGGAGGCGCCACACAGGTAAACAACTGCCGAAGATTTAGGACTTCATGAAGTCATCATCCCTGCTGGTTTTATCTGCACAGGTGGTGCCTGAGAAGAGAATGGGAAGAGGAGTTTGAGTTGTCTTAAAATCAGACTGGGTTGCTACTGCGTAAAAAAGATTCTTTTCCAACGTCTACGTCTTTCGGGGCGAGACCCACGATCGGAAGGTCTCGCGTGGTTCGATCCACCTTATCAGCTTCGAGACCATGTGGTAAGTGGAGTCCGTGGCTCAAAGATGGGAAGCTGATTGAGTCAATCGGGGAACCTGGCTGCTCGCTACCGTTGACCGTTTGAATCAATCCTGCTTTCTCGAACCTTGGGTCCAGGCTTTTGGGAGGCATTCACGGCAATGCCGAAGCATACTCCTCCGTAATACCGACATCCCTTTGTCCCTCACTGCGTTTCTTCTTCATCCTTGCACTGTTAAAGTTCTTGCCGAGTTGCCAGCAATTGCCCTCTCTTATCCCGACTCAGGGACCCCATACTCTTATACTCTTTATCTGCAAGGGCAGGGCGAGTGAACCAATTGGTTTCTTGTGTGTCCCTCTCGCAAGCGGCGAGCTCGGACGCCTCCCGATGCATTCCAGAGCTGAACCATGATTCATGTTTTAATCTTATTCGCCTGGTGCAAAGTCTTCCATGTGGGGCCGGAAATTACTTGCCTCGGATGTTCCAAGAGATCTGAGATCGTGGGGCGCTTTGGCCTCCAATCCTAGTGCTTAATATCTACTTTTGTCGTTGAACCTGAGACAAGCCTTCCAGAACAGTGGTATACCAAAGATTTAACTATGTCAGGGAGTTCCCTGTATATACCCATGTGGTGACAGGATATAGCAGAATATACGATTTCTGTTTAATATCACCACCTTTTCTGGGGCAATTTTATTGCAGTCAGGTTCCGGCGAATGTACCCCGTATTCTAGATCTCGTATATTGCAAATTTAATCTCCAATTAATGGTACGTCCCAGAATAAAAGCGAAGGCACGAAATAAATTGAGGCAATATGAATGTTTAATATCCGAAGAAAATTCAAATTGATTAAGTTCTGTGACCAATTCTACCCACGTGCTCCATCCTACCCTAGTTTCGTTCCCCCCCTGATTTTTGGCCACGCGTTCGAATCCAGGATGAATCTCGCTTTTTACTCACGTCCTCCAGCAAGTTTTATACCGTCAGGTTGCATAATGCATTTATGGGTCTATTTCAAAGCGTTGTCTATGTAAAGATTACTGGGCCTTTAGTACTAGCGGCTGAAAACATACCTGTTTGTCCATCTTATTCTTGTTATTCACATTTCCGCGGCATCCATCAATATCTGCCACAAGGCTTGCGTTGATCCTCAACCAAGTTTTAGACGTAAATCCAAGTATATTTAATTGATACCACATGGCAAACGGCTATAGAATGTCAAGGTGCAAGCCGGTGCTGTTTTTATTTATGATAAGGAAATAGTAAGGGTAAGTCTGATTGCTCTATGAAGCAACAACGGATTATATATATAGCGATACTCAAGCGACGATTTGACAATAATCCGCATACCTGAGGCATGAAACACCTATACCTTCGCCATTGATCGTTTTCCAGCAACTAATACTCCATCCTGAACTCCCACTTATCCCCAGGGACGCTTTCCTGTGTACTGTTCGACGACAGGATGGGAACCATTCTTCGTGGTGACCCGCGCAGATCACACGCACGGACTGTGTATAGAGACCCACTGGATCAGCATCCGTTGTGGATATAGATCATACAGCACAAGAAAACGGCCAGTGGGGCATAAAAAGACTCTTGATACGTTGGATGTTTCCGGACAGTCTGTCCTCTGTAGAGTATTTAAGGAACTTGACGAAATCTGAATGGATTATTTGGACTGAAGCAAATCCATCATATTCCGTAGTGGGACTTAGATGATAGGACCGTCTCTCGACCGAGGCATATACCGCAAGGAGACGAGATAGGGAATGCAAACTAAGCTTTGCCAGCACTGACGGCTGTAGGTTAAGCGTTCGGCGATACAGCAGACGTACATATGCACATGGGATGCTATGAACTCAGGTACTGACTAGACTTGATCTGGGCGCGCGTTGCACGTGTAGCACTAACTAATAGGAGAACAGTGCTTAGATTAGGTAATCTCATAGTTAATTAGTTAGTTATCCCGTGACCTCCTTAATGGATATGATAACGTAGTTTCTTGGTCAAAGGTCTCGCAAACCATCACATATATACTAAAAAAATTCTAAAAACCTTAGAATATTAATAATATAATAACTACTTGAAAAGTACATAGAAAATACTGAAGATATACAGTAGTGGATAATAATACAAAGAAATAGTATTCCAATGAACTTACCTAAGTTCAATATAGAATTAACTAACGAACTAACTTAAACTAGTTAGTCAACTAAGGTCTTGTTCTGCTTATTAGTAATTCCTGGTCAGTGTTTTGGTGGTTAATGCCATGTCGCGTCATGGGTCGGCTTGGCTTTGAAGACACAACAACCAAACTTCCCTCAAATAAATAAATATCCCATGAACAATTACCAATAATCAATATTCTACCGAAGGATGTCGGACATCCCCTCCGTCATCGGGTTCACCCTCCTGGTGGCACTTCTGGCATCCATCTTCGTCTTCGTCCAGCGAAGGAAATTGGATCCCCGGGAACCACCTGCGGTCTCCAGCGCAATTCCGCTCGTCGGCCATCTGGTGTCATTCCTGTACTATGGCCTCGAGTACTTTGCGATTATGAGGTGCGTTGCGCGCATCATTTCGTCATTGGACAGAGCAAACGCACTGACTACGAAAGCCGCAAAAACCGCCTTCCTGCCTTTACGATGGACATGCTCTATACGAAGGTCTGCATCATTGCATCGCCAGAGCTGGTCTCTGCCGTGCGACGGAGCCGCAACGCAATGTCACTTGGTCCGCTGTTCGCAAATGTCGCCGAGAATGGGGCAGGTGTTAACGGTCGCGGGATGCAGCTTCTCCGGGACAAAGAGTCTGGAGGTCAGGGCCTGGGCCAGCAAACCGCAGACTCCATGCACCCGCCTCTCTTGGGTAGCGGACTGGATCAAATGAATGGGAAGATGATCGCTGTCCTCAATACAGTTATTGATGAGTTGGCATCGCAACCAGACGATGTAGTGGACCTCTATGAGTGGTGCTCGTACGCCGTTACGGTCGCCAGTACAGATGCCGTGTATGGTTCATTGAATCCTTACCGGTCAGAGAGCAACCGACGCGCTTTCTGGTGAGTACTTGTCTTCTCCACGATATAGTTTAGAATTAAACAGTATATAGGGCTATGGAATCGAATTTTAGTCTGCTGATGATGAATACCCTTCCCTGGATCACCGCACGTAAACCGTGGAAAGGCAGAGAGCAACTAACCCAAGCCTTCATCGAATACTATCAAGCGGATGGACATCTGGATTCCTCGCAGTTGGCGTACAGTCGATGGAAGGTTCAGCACGAGGGGGGCGCGACTATCGAGGACATTGCGCGTTTGGAGGTGGCGACGGGTCTGGCCATTGTCTCCAACACCGTTCCAACCTCCTTCTATTGCCTGTTTGACATCTTCTCTCGTTCTGATCTTCTTCACAAAATCCGAGATGAGATCCTGGCAGGTGCCTTGTCGGTGGATTCGGCGGGCGTTCACACCTTGGACCTGGCGGATATCCGTGAGAAGTGTCCGATCCTCGTCTCCACGTTCCAAGAGACTCTTCGTACGCGGTCAAATTCCGGGCAGCTGCGTGTTGTTCACAAAGATACGTTACTCGATGGTCGCGTGCTCGTAAAGGCCGGGTCCATTCTTCTGATGCCCGCAGCAATTATTAACAAGCACCATTCCGTCTGGGGCTCGGACGCCGATACATATGAACCAGACCGGTTTAGCAAGGTCGACCCGGTCGAAAGGCGATCAAAGGCGACTGGATTCATGTCATTTGGTTCATCCCCACATATCTGCCCAGGACGCCATTTCGCATCAGGAGAAATCTTGGCACTGGTGGCAATGATCCTGGTGCGATTTGACGTTCGTCCCGTTCGGGGCACATGGATCGAACCCAAAGTCAACACAAGGGCAGTCACCGCATCGATGCCTCAGGTGGCGGAGAAGGTCGAAGTGAAACTTTCGGAGACGTCCAAGTTCGCAGGCGTGAAATGGACATATCGCCTCACGCCGGGGAAGGGAACTTTTGGTTTGATCACTGGATAAGTGACTGGTTGGGACGTCTGTGGCGGTTGCGTCGACTGAATGCTGAGCGCAGAACATATGATGGAGCTTCGAAACTAAATCGCCATCTATATTCGTCGTTGGTATCTTGGTGTTTCACCAACTCTGTATCTAGTGGAAAACCCTGTCCGTGTATAAATGTGGAGCCATGTCCCGAATGTTGAGTCTGGGAGCTCCTTCTAATCACGTTCGTTCTGATCAGACTAATCAGTGTGACAGTAATTCGGTCGCAGAAACCAACAGAGGGACACCGATTATCTGGATGCTATTGGGTATCGTCCTCGCATATATGAAACGTGCCGAGGCGCAGCAGCATGAGAGCCCCGCATCATTTAAGGCCGGCTATAACTACAAGCCCTGGTCAGGCACACCCTGTTTGTCTCTGGTATACAACGATCCTTCTTTCGAAGCCATAGTTTTGTGTCTCACAAAATGGTCTATCAGGAAGTCTACCACTTGCACCCAAACGGCTGGGAATCCAGCCCCCAAGAGGAGCGGTACAAAATCTCGACGCTTGACTACCTGACCGGCCTGTGCTACACCCACTTCGCGATCTACTTTCGCTTGAATGATGGAAGTAAGCCCAAGGCTGCTGCAGTGCTGAAGGAGGGTCTCGAGCGGGCCCTCGGCCAAGTTGGCCATCTTTGCAGCACCATCGAAAAAGACTCTGGAGGGGGTCATTCCTTTGTTAAGAGGAAGGAGAGCACGGTGCAGTTTGTTATACAGTGGCTGGACGCTGCGAGCGATGCGGATCGATTCCCCTCGTTGGACGACATGGAAAGTTCGAGCTTTGCTGGGATTACGCTGGGTGATTTCAAATATTGGAGCATCGAGCCTATGACATACGGTGAGAAGCCCGAGGCGCACCCGGATAGTTCACCAGTCACCTCAGCCTTCTTACTAAACTTTGTTCGCGGGGGACTTGTCCTGATCTCCCACATGCACCATTATGCTAACGATGTCATGGGCTGGAGGGGATTTGTGCAGCAGCTTGCGGACAACTGCTACGCTGTGGAGAAGCAGACACCGTTCCCGATGTGGGACCCAGCCTGCAATGATGTCTCCATCGTCTCCAAGCCGGATCCGCCCATGGAGCAGCTTGTTGACGGACCCCCTGCGCCGCAGCAGCACCCAGATCAGAGGCCTGGACAGTGCCTCCTCTTTCACCTCCCCAAGAGCAAGGCTACTGAGCTAAAGAGACTCGCGACACCCCAGGATGGAACGTGGATCTCAACGTACGACGCTTTTGCCGCCTTCATATGGCGTACCACCACACGCCTACGTCAACCTGTCTTTGGGATAGCACTCAGCACCCCAGTATTCTGGTGTGAGGCCGTGGATATGCGCCGCCGGATAAAGAACCCCCCTGTGCATCCGCAAGTCCAGCACAATGTTCTTTGGGCGGCACTATCGGACCAGGCACCTTTCCCGCCGCTCACTCACGGCGATGTCATCTCAGACAAGCCGCTCTGGGAATTGGCGGCCTACATTCGCAAAATTACCAATACTCAAACACAGGAGAACCTGGATACTGCACTGACCGCTATCTCGCATATTAAGGACAAGACGAATCTCAACATCCGTATTAACTCCAAGCCACCTATGTCCATCATTACAACGGACCACCGTGATGCTCGAGTCACCAATGCGGACTTTGGGTTCGCCCGCCCGCTGTGCCATCGTCACTTGCAGCAGGGGGCAGGTGTCACCGTTGGTGTGCACGTCGTGTACCCTCCCCAACTCGATGACAACCCGGACTCAGATGAAGGTAATATGTTTGCTCTCATGTATGAGAAGGAGCTGGCTCAGGACCTGATCAACGATGAGGAGTTTGCCAGATTCTTCGAGTATAAGGGTGTTGATAGTGAATAAGGGTCATTCTGGCTCTCTATTAGTGACGACTGGGATGTATTGCTAAATGATATGGCCATGGCCGTTTCCGCAGCATTTCCTTTAGCAGTGGGTAAATCAGATGTGGCGCCGATAATCTTATACCATAATGATATAAAGAGAGTGTGGACCTGAACCTCCTGTGAGGGAAAGGCTATCGCTGTATTATGCCATACACTAGTACTGTGAAACTTGTATGAGATGGACGAAAGCTAGGAGGATGTTTATAGCGAGTAAGAACCATATTACCAAACAATATTGGATGGGTAACATTCAATATACAGACAATCTTATAGAGCTCATGGTAGTTATTATCGCCCACTGAAGCAAGTTCACATTATTATCTGTCTCACGGTAAAACGCGATGTGACGAAGAATCAAATCATTCTCTAGTAAGCGAAGAACCGGTTAGTGAATTAAATGGCTCGATTAAGAACATGAGGAAGGCATTAAGCGGCAATCCCGGCCCATTCGATCATAACCACCTCGCCTTCATCTCTGATCTTCCCTCCGACCAAGGACGACCTTGACTGATGCTGTTGGCGATCGACTTCGCGACGCTTGAGCTGTGGTGCAATGCTATCGTCTCACACTGAGCATAAATGAACATAAAAGGCATAAACCGAGTCTGGCAACAGCTTGATCCGAGCAGATACATGCATCGCATCGTTACAGTGAAACAGAAAGCTCACGTATAGTGGCTGGAGACCATTTTACACGTATGATCATAGGGCTTCGGCATAGAACGCTGCGAGATGTGCGATACAGCTCCCTGCGCATAAACCCTACGGGGCTTGAAGACAAGAAAAGTACGGGCTCGGAAGTTAAGGAACATCCTCGATGGCTGATCGTCTCCGAAACCAAGTCCCGGTTGCTGCCGGATATCCTTCTGCACATCCGGTGGGTATGGCTGTTATGGTAAGGTTGAAGATTATTCTCAAACAGCACGACATCCTTCAGGATACAAGCTCCAATCACAGTAGGCCCACTCAGACATTGTACATATAGATTGAACCAGTTTCCCACACACGAAGGATCGACGAGTGGATCTGAACAGTCCCCGCCATGGCAATCAGATTATACCTTCTTCCGATGTTTCGCCGAGGATAAGCCCTGAAGAGTCAGGCCTTGAATTGAGGTTGCTATTCTCATCGTTAATGAGACCTCAGAGACAGTATTGCTGACTTTGCAAGATTTCCCGGCATTGTATTTGACCCATGCACAAACCTTGAAGGCGGAAATTGCTTGCTACATCCCAGCAAAAATATCTGGAGCTTGATACATACATCCGACATACATGTTCCCGCGTCCATAGAAGGTAAATGATGGACTCAGTGCGCCTAGACTTGAATGATTACTAATCATTCTGCAGACAGGGCCCTGACCAATTCAAGAAACTTGATCACCACAGGCAGTGGCGCAGCAATGCACGATTGGATATGTTCAGCGTTTGAAATCAATTGCAGTCCCCACGTGTCATAGGGTATAGTCTCTCAATCTAAGCCCCTCAAATCAAGTGGAGCCAACGATTGATACGGATGAACCGGCTTTGGCTACTTCCGGTTCCGACATTGATTGGCGGTACCTGCATATGCTCATGCTGTTGCCTGGTTTCAAATCAATATCGATATGTTCCATGTGGTGAGGTGCATTGCATTCGATTGGAAGATTCTTAAATCTGGACTCCAGTACATTAGGCCGAGTAGAACCCTTGGTTGGAAGGGTCTCGGGGTTTAATCTATTCGTCCTGCCGAAAGTTTGTTAGCCGTTGCCCTAAGGCCTACATAGAGGCTGAGACTGATAGTGATTGAATATCGTCATTAGGCTAGACTGCGGGAAGGATCTGCTAGTAGGCATGAAGATGGTGGATCCTTTGCTGCAGTCGGTATTCGGAGATGCTGTCACCCGTAGCAATTTAGTAGCATCTCGGGCAAGATCCTTGCCTGTTGCGTCTTGGCGGACGTCGGTAATCAATTGCCTTCTATATAAGAAGCCAATGTCAGTAGAAAAGACATATAAGCAAGTACTCCTCCCATATTTCACTCCAGACACAGAGAATCAAACCGGTGTTTTCACGCAATCAAGAACAAATCCTCCAAAGCCATCAAGATGGTTCCTAAGAACATCCTGGCCATTCTGGCTGCTGCCATCGCAGTGCAGGGCAGCCCCATGGAAAAACGCGCAGTCGTGAATCATGACTCTATCACACCATTCCCCGAGACCGTACCCAATTCTGCCACTGGAAACGCTTATAAGAAGTTCGAGCCATATCTACACATTGCACATGGCTGTCAATCCTACCCGGCCGTTGCCGCCAACGGTGATGTGAGGTAAGTCGTCAATATTACGTCGTATAGCATAAACCCCAAGTACACTATTATAAACAAGACGAAAGATGCAGATTTACTAACGTTTGTTGTATAGTGGAGGTCTTCAAGACACCGGTAGCGCCACAGGCGGGTGCCGCGACCAAAGTAAAGGGCAGACCTACGTGCGCGGCGGCTGGCATAATGGCCGTTACGGTATCATGTATGCCTGGTATATGCCAAAGGACATGCCCAACAGTGGAGTATCAGCGGGTGCGCACCGTCATGACTGGGAGAATGTTGTTATCTGGGTAAATAACCCGACCAACGATAACCCAACCTTGTTGGGCGGTGCAGCATCTGGTCACGGCAGCTACAAGAAGACGGACAACCCCCCGCGTGAGGGCGATAGGCCTAAGGTGGAATACTTCACCAACTTCCCAACCAACCACGAGCTGCAGTTCACTAATACGCTGGGACGCGATCTACCACTCATTGCCTGGGAGTCTCTTCCCGAGGCCGCGAGACAGGGACTTGAGAGCGCCGAGTTTGGGAAGGCCACCGTTCCATTCAAGGACTCAACCTTTCAGGGAAATCTCGAGAAGGCTGCTCTTTAGGAAGCTTTAGGTATTTCTTGTTGGAGAGCCACATGACATCTATCTGAAGGAACAACGCAACTTGATTCTGGTTGTTGTTTAGCAGTAGCATGGAGTAGGGTATGTTTATGAGCTTCCTTTGTCAAGCAAACGGCCGATAGTTGAATATATCACTTGGATATGTTGCGTGTCCAAAAGGCTAGCATATGATAATGGTCACTGGTCCGTATCAGCAGAGTAATAGAAAGGGGTGGTTGATGCATAAATGTAATCTGGAATTTACCCTCTTATGAATCGCATGTGCGCGGAAAGAATAGCTTGCCCCCCTATTATGGGCAGTCGATAGCAGAATAGGACTTAGATGACCTCTATAAGAATCGTTGAGGCTGTCCACAGCTACTCATAATGGTTAATAATAGGACGAGCTTATAATAGATACACGATGGATAGCTTGCATGTGATCTTCAAGGTTCTCCTCTGATAGATTGATTCTTCAAAGCTTTCGTCAACTGCATAAGTCACGAAAGAATGTTCCAACCAACGATCCAATACCACCGGCGAAGTCGAAATTTGACATCAAATTCAGGTCTAGAAAACGTAGCGCGAGATCCTCAGATCCACAAGAAGCTTTCCGTGCCCTACCGCAGTACGGAATATCTCCCTGTATATTAACTAAGTCTTGAACGTGTTGATGATGGCCACTTAGGCAAACCCCAAGATCGATGAAAACGAAGGGGTAAATTCGATTAGTTAGTACGGAATGTGGAGTTAAAGGATTCTCTGCAAGGGGACCAGGTAATATCCCGTAGGTACGAACAAGCCGTGCTGGAATCATGATGCTCTCAGTCGAATTAAATACCCAGAAGAAAAAGAAGACCCACATGGAGAGAAACTACCTACGGTCTTGACCTTGGTTGCCCCGAGATTTCCGGGAGCCGCCTTGTTTCTACCAAACTTTGACCGATCACTGCAGAGTCTCTGTCACACGTAGCTGAAGAAAATGTATGAATTACGTACCCTTGTTCGATCTACGGAGGAGTGCACCCAAAATCCTGGCGCGCATGCTAGTAATGTTGAGTCATTGACCCCAGGCGCTGGGTCCGGCTAGTACTAGGGAGATGGGAGATGCCCCAGATTCTATATAGGAAACCATTGGAATTAAAATAACACGAATTGATTGAGTCTCTGAATACTCTACACGATTGGAATCTATAGAGGCGTTAGGCCCCCATTTGAATTTCGGGTAGAGGCAGCTTCCTGGTGTGTTGTTACTTATTAGTCGGAACGGAAAGAGCAACATTGCACGCCGGTTAGGCATGGGATACATCTGCCTTAAGATGGGTAGCGGCGAAGCCCAAGTTTGAGACTCTGGCTCTGGATCAGCATCAATGTATGTACTAGAGTAGTTAATGGCTCTGCCGGAGATCTTCCCCAAATCAATGTCATGTTATGTCTGGATAGACACAGGCTCAAGGCTGTAGCATTTGAAAACTGGTCGAAGAAGTGCTCCACTTTTAGGCCCCCACATCTGGACGAGGCTGAGATTGAAATCAATCTTTTGTACAGAGTACACGTTGCCTATTTCTGCTTGGGATATACAGCGTTACTCTTGGGAAACCGACGCAAGCGGCAATGCCACCCATCACCAAAATATGGCTCAGCACCCTGAAGACCAAAGATTCCATTGACCCGAGCGAGTTTACCGACCTGCTCTGCCACATCCTCACCCACTGCTCCTCCTACACTAACCCCGACTCCAATCCCAAATTACCGCCCATGCACGCCTTCTTTCGGAGCGTCGAAAGTCCAGACAACCTCCTAATGATAACGGGATACCCTTCGCAGGACATGAACAATGAGGCGGACCGAACTTATGCAGAAGCCTTCCTACCCCGTATGTTCTAATTCGTCCAGCATAACTGGCTAAAGCAGTTGGACTTGGATGTGTGCTCGCTGCCGTTAGGAAATGATGATTTGGTGCTCCAAATTCGCGACACTCCTGCGGGTCAGGGGATAGACCAGGTAGTTGGGGGATGGGATGTGTGGCCAGAGACGGAGCAAGGGATAAGAATGAAAGAGGCCGGTAAACTAGATGATGTGCCGAGGGCCTGGGTTGGCATCGGGAAAGATCTTGAGACAAATCTCACTCAAGCTAGAGAAACATTCCACTTTCACAAGGTTAAAGCCATATAATTGGGCCAGAGGATGGATAGATGAGTCGAAGACATGCAACTGCTGTAGCCCGCAGACCAATGCACATCGATGCTGATTGATATTGCCCTATGAGGCTAAAGGCATGTATAAAGCATAATTTGCAAAATGAACAAGTGAGAGCAATGGATCTATGAACCTATCGAGATCTAGTATATCATTGACACCAGAATGTGGTAGTATCATGAGTTTCCAAATCTGTTGCTGTCTCCGGTAGTCAACAAAAGGATAATTTGATTTCCCGCGTTACTCCTTCTAATGATTACAGGGCCTTTCAATACTTAACCAACATTCCCAGAGCGTGGCCCTACCGAGATGATTTCCAGTCGATAGCTTAGAAATCTGATCATGTCTGCAGTCGCTCCACCAGCTCCTTCAGCGCGCTTGGAACTGCGGATGCGTGAGCAACGACGCTTGCGCTTGCTTGCCAAGGATGGGGGTGAAGCAGTCTTTAACAGGAAGGTTGTAAGGGCAGTGACTGCAGAACTTTCGTTCGATTGCTACTGGGCTGAAGCGTAGCATTGGGCGTGGTTGGCCCGAACACCTACAGTCAAACCGGTCGAGGCTCGAAGTCTGATACGTAAGGCATAATATTGCCATCGCCCGAGTACAGGCCAAGATATTTGGTTCTTCGAGCAAAGGCTGGTTGAGCTTTAGCCTGTGCAGCCGATGGGATCTACAGGAGAAACATCAGCCATCGGTTGCATTATGGTATGATGAGAGTCATTGCGCACAGCGGTCCTTTTTACCAGCGCCTTGCCTGATTATGAAGTATATTCGGCCGCGTTGATAAGTCGTACGGGGCGCACTAGCGTTTCGAGCCCTAGACAAATATAACTCTGTTCTCCCCACCATGCAATACATTCAGCGCTTAGTTCAAACTCTGAAAGACCCTGCTAGTCAATGGCGTTCCATAGAACTTGGCCAGCATGCCTATCTCATGAAGGTTTTGATTTACTTTTGGTTTCGACGGCGACTCCAGCGGACTGTCGATCCATATTTAATATTAACCCACTAAGATCACGCCTGTTCCACAAGTCTTAGAATTAATGTTATGACACTTACATGCACTGTAAACGATTGCAATGTGTCGGCTGATACGGACCGTGGTTGGATACTACGGAGCAGTGGTAAAGCTCTAGGTCTGCGCCGAAAGCGTCAGCTTTCAAGAGGCCTTAACTGAGATAATGCAATCCGGCTATATAGTGTATTCTAGACATTGGCATAATGATAGCAGACACTATCATCTATATGATTGCTTTCGGACAAGCGTGGCGGGTAACGCACTTGAGTGGATATTGAATAGAGCGATCCCTGCGCCTAGACTTACTTGGCCGGCTAAGGTCTGAGCGTCAATTGGGCTTTACCGACAGGTTGGCCGTTGGTGAATCAGAATCGTCCTCGTCCATGGCGCAAGGTTGGGTGAGCATTACTCGGGAGAGCTTTCAGGAAGCAGTGATAGAGATGTGGTATTGGTTCCTCACAAATTTATTGTGTCAAAAAGATATTATGAAACGGCTAGCCCACTACCCTAACACTTCTCTGTTCGTTGTATCCAACTGAGGCCGTTATCGATTGTAAGTTGCCATCATGACTATGAGCCAGGGCCAATGGCATCTTGCACAACTATAGAGCTTCTAGATCATTTGCATGAACTACTTCAGTAGAGATTTACTCAAGCCAATTTAATACCTTGGACCCTGGCGTCGTTTCCCTATAGTGAAAGTTGAGCCCAGAGTCTCCGCCACTTGTCGTATCACCAAATTCATGCATGCTGTTCATAGGCGCGCTTACTGGCAGTAGATCATTAGGTACTCTGGATGCAAACTTCTCCTTAAACTGTGGCCAGAAGCCTATCGAATGAATAGACTGAGGCCCAACATGCCAAGAATTTATTCCTTGTACTACCAGGGTCTAACGGGAAAGGATCCAGCATTCATATGGTTGTACAGGGCACTTCAAGTCTGTGGAGACCTTTGCCCCAAAAGTGTAACATTAATTAGGCATCGTTTGAGAAAGCCTCTATCGTGACAAAGAAAGGCCGATCCGTAAACTAAGCGTGTAGTGTCTACAGAGAAAGCCGGGTTTTGTGGCGATCTCCAGAGAATCTGACCGTTTGAGAACTCAGTCCTTCTATGGCTCATCAGTAGCTACGGAAAGGCTTTCCTTTGTTCACCCAATGTCTCCCTGAAACTCGTCTTCTGTCTTCTCTACCGTTCAATCCGACAGGTATGGTCAAGCGAAACTTGATCTCAAGCCGCTTAGCCTGAGTAGTCACACGAAGATATCCGTCTTTAGCCAAATAATTATTTATCCAGCGACATCTTCTTGATTCCTTTTAGTATAACCACCCTAGGCCTACCGTTGTGAGGTGGAGGACGAGGGTAAGTTTGGGACTATCTCTGCCAGAAATAACTAAATTCAGTGGAGGAAAAAGTGCGTCCTAGGCTGGGGCTCCGTAGACTGGCGCTCATATTAATGCACATTGATAGATATCGGAGCTGAATGTACGGAGTAATATGTACTTCAAAATGAGTCTGTATTTCCTCTCACCCTCCAATCATGTCTGTCCCAATAAAGGCGTTTCCGCTTCCTGTCCGACGCAGTGTAACAAAGTCTGGTGTCTAGCCGGGCACTGGGCGACATATATGTCGATCAGTGCTCGGTGGCTTTCTGTCATAGAAGTGTCATGGCTAACAAAAGTAAAGTCTATACAAGGGTTAAAAGGGAAAGACGCAGTGGAATGCCAGTGGCTTTTATGAGACAATGTCTTGGCATGTTAGGTATATAAATGATCACGTTTTCCACCATTGATCACTCTGTTTCCCAATTCAACTCACTCATTCATTTAATCATTCAATTCTTCTAATCCAGATATCTGCGGCTGGTTCGCAATTCTGCTGTTATAAGTCATCCCAACAGTATTCATTCATTAGTCTATCGCTTTACCATTTCATTTCTGTGCTAGCCACCTCTATCTTCCCGACTATCTCAACATGAAGTTCACTGTTGTCTCCCTCGTTACGGTTGCTTTCTTGTCTGTGGGCCCTGCAATTGCGATTCCCGTCGACAGCACCCAAGACACAACCACTGCCGATGCAGCTTCTCGGACCGACGATGCCACGCTGTCAGGTCCCAGTGCAACCTTGACTTCCGACAAGTCGGACCATATCTACACTCATGCCCATGGTCAAAAGGAAGCTGAAGACACCGATCCCAACACTGACAATGCCATTTCTCAAACTGACGGTGCCATGCCAGCAGGTGCCGGTGCAACCATAGCTTCCCACAAATTGGACCATAACTGCACAGATGCCGATGCCCATAAGGAGTTCAAAGATGCTAATACAGCCACTGCCGATCCGATGTCGGGGACCGATGATGCCACGGCAGCGGGTGCAACTATTGCTCCCCACAAGGATCATAACTGCACAGATGCTCATGCGCACGAGAAGTTCGAACACGTTGGTCCAACCACTACTGCCACAGCTCCAGGCAGCGATGGGGAGATGAAGGCTTGGGTTAGGAGAGCTCCCGCCCAGCGCGGCACTCCTGACTCTATAGAAGCCCAACACGCTAGTGCAGCAGATGCTTCTTCCCCGGGCAGTCAGGGTAATTCCCGTTCGCCCCAAGCTGACAACGCCCAAGATGACAAATGGATACATGGTGTAAGCATCCAAATTACAGAATAGTAACTAGTCGTGTAACTAACCAACAAATCAAAGACCTGCAAGCGAAATAAATGCACTGTAACCATGCCAGGCGAAAACAAGGAACGTAAACCTGACTGCCATGCAGACTCCCCGGTAAGATACTAACTCCAATTTGATAGTCTGTCATGTGTGCTGATGATAGAAGTGTTTATATCTTGGTTCTTGTGTCGTTAGTGTGCGCAATCCGGACGTGGCATTTTGCAGTTAAAGAAGCCTAGGGAAAGAGGCACGACTGCGGTGACTTCCGCCCCCGTGCTTCGGGGGTAGTGATAGCTATTCTGGATGGGATAATGTATCGCACGGAGGGGACAAGTATTAAATATTGTGTTTGGGACCGGGAAATCTGTTGAAGTTACTAGTTCTTAGTTTCTTCCCTATACAGCGCGTGAATACATATATTTTCCGGAACTCTCAACAGTTTTTTTCTACAGTTGAGAACACATCACTTCTTTCTGTATAGACAAGACTCATACCAAATGGCAATGCGGTGGATCAGAGAAAGACTACCAAGCGTGATTTATGTCTCAGGCTATTCCAAAGACTGAAAGGATGCTGTTTTCCTCGTTGCTTACACACTAAGCAAACCAGAATAGGTTTCAGTCGCACTGATCCATTTTTCTAGCCCCACACAAGACCTCGACGAAGCTCTGTGAGCTGTGACTTTCCTTCATGTTCTCCTAAACTCGCTTGCTGTAGGAGTCATCGTTCGGCCTCCTTTCTACATGGTCGTCATAGCACTTGCTACAACAAACAAGTCCAGTGCTCGCTAGTGTGATCAGTCTAAGTCAATGTCAACCTGGAGTGAACAACTATGGATCAATCCTATTCTGTTCTCTCCGCGTATGGGTTGGCATTGGCCGAGGTGGTCAAGGAGTCTCAGGAGCGAGAGTTCAAAGAGTTGGTATTGTATGCTAGCGGGATAATGTGAAGCAGACGGGAAAATGTGATTTATCGTCCGGTATGCATGAACTTGAAAAATAAGGCTTAGGGGTAGAGGGGTAGTTGTAATGCCTGGCATTCAACTCATCTTTGTACCGTGGGCTAAGACAAAGCGACATAAGTTTCAGCAACAAACTTCAGCGAAGGGCCTGGACCTTCGGCCTATCAGGCTCACCAGACATTGTGTGCTCTAAATCCAGAGTAGTCAGGTCTATGGAACGGGGAGTTTCCCGGTGCATTCCGTGACGAACGTCACAGAATTGGCATGATAGGGTACGTATCGTGTGTGGGCCTCGTGGGGAATGGTTGGCACGGGCATAAGACTAACCCTAATTCAGGACAGGCTGCAGAGGTGACAAATGCCATAAGAATATTTAGTAGCCTACATATTTAACACTGGACCAGAACGGCCCTTTAATGATTGTATTTCAAAATATAAATACAAGACAGCGCAAGATGGGCAACATGGCCGAAATCCTATATCTCGAGCACAGCCATTGCGGGGTAATTCGCTCGAGGCGAGCTAAAGAAAGACAGACATTGACCAATGATCATCAACGGAGTTCGACTCCGAGCCGAGACCTGATCGTCTTTGGTGACGCCGCTGGGAAGTGGGGGTTTGACCACATTTCGCCGATACGGTGGTTAATCCCTGAGAAGAAAGAAAAAAAAAAAAATGATAGATCAGATCTTGCTGCTGCATTTTGACTATCCCAAGAAGCGGTGAGATCCTGGATAAGAACTGTCGTTTATGCCCCCTGCACAGCGCCATGAGCAGCTGTAGTACCCTGCTGTCACTTGAGTTGCTGCAGTGAGACGAACAAGGTCTCTGACTACAGCTGAGCCTGATCCCTTTACTTCTTCCACAATGGGAAAAGGCCTAGAGTAATAACAGCGAGAAACCAAGACAAGGGGCGGAAACGACGAAGGACGGAAACTGAGAACAAACAAGTAAATAGGACAAGAATATCGGAAGGATATTTTATTTATACTCGGCCGAGCAGTGTGGAAACGACAAGGGTCCTGTGACGAACGTCAGCTTACGTAGTTGACACCAATTGGGCTAGACAGAATGCGTCAAGTGTCCTATCAAGGTATCAATTCAGTGTAGATGTAACTAGTATCATGTAGAAATCGATCAACACTGAACGTCAGCTGCCAATCTCAGTATTGAGTTTGAGAGCCGGAGCCACCCGACAGGAGGAGGGGTAAATGGAAGGTGGTGAACGCTCATGGAGGATGATTTAAGGTAGTGGCGTAAGGGTGTGCACTTCCCAAGCCATAGACCATACAGAACACCACCACCTTTCTCCTGACCCCCTCCCTGATGTCCATAGGCATGTCTATATTGAGTCGGTGAGATACCTAGACCCTTCATCATGATATCTCCAATCCTTCCACTACTAATGGCGGCAGTGGGCTTCTGCGTTGGCCGGTGGTGGCCGAGCAGCCAGTCTAGCTCCCAAGACCTTCAGAGGCAGCCAAGACCAATGCCCACTCAAGCGTCGCACAAGGCCTGGAGCCACAAAGGCAGATTGTGGGTCCTAGTGTTACTAAAGTTTGCTTTGTCGCTGCTAGATATGTGGGTAAATACTGGATCCCTCTAGGATTGGGACTTCACCGGGCAAAGGCTGTTAACGCAATAGGATTTCAGGAGCTCTCACTCCAATTGTTCTTGCCTTGAAGAACTCAGATGTCAAATTCACGGTTGTTGATAAGGATGAAAGCGTAATCAACTCTTGGAACTCCAACCATCTCCCACTTTTCGAGCCTGGATTGGAGGAGATCTTTTTCGATGAACCGGAGCAAAAGGTCCATGAAGACGGCCAGCGTCCCTGGCGAAGGAGACTGCAGAATATTGCTTTTTCCATCGCCATGGACGAATATATCATGGCAGCAGACATGATTTTCATTTGCGTCAATACACCCATTCACATGAGTATATCTGATTTAACATAGCCCTAGGGTAACTTTATGCAATAAATTGACAATTCAAAAAGGATACATTAGATACGCGGAACTCTACGGCTATTAGTCTCGCTCAGGGTCTCCACCGGTTTGGTGCAAAGGTTCGCCTATACGACCCCCGTTTAAGATTCGATCAGATTGAGTGCATCTTTGGTTCTACAACGTCACAGATGGTGGTTGCTGACATTGAAGACGCCTGTCGGGGATGCCATGCTCTAGTTATCCACACTAATTGGGATGAGTTTGCTGACTGGAGCATTCCATGGTAGCATAGCAGCTCTATGATGGAGCCGAAGGTGCTTCTTGATCCGTGGGGGGCTACAAGCCGTCATGCGATGGAGCAACATGGGTTCCGCATCCTAGATGTTGGGATCATGCACGGATGGGAACAACACTGGCCACTGGTCAGATCTAATAGCATCGGTCTCGTGTCTCCGTAGGCATTATTTGCTGTTACTATATGAACAGTAGCTAGACACGGCTATCAGGATAACCATAGACCCCTTTGGCACAAGGATAGTTAGAAATCGTAGTCTCCAGTCACAATAGTAGCATCGCCCTGGCTTTGTTTAGTCTTGGAAGTCTTGTGTACAGTTCCCGATCTTCCAAAACCAGTAATCAGCAAAGTGCGCAAGCGAGGCAGTGGGCTGGGAACCTGTATGTGGTGATTCCCTAAGCTCTTCAAACAATTTAAGGTAGCACAATCCTTTGGATGTAGCGAGTATGGGTACAAGGTCACGTCATAGTAATAGAAGTGTCTTTCGCGCACCTCCTCAGATACTCAAACCTTGGCAGTGAGAAAATCAACTTATTGTGTGAGAGGTGTCGCTAACTGGAGTTGATTCTCAAGTGGCCAAATGGTTACTGTATGGTTATATCAAGTGTGCATAACCCGAATTCATAGGCCTTGGCAGCACAGTCCATGGTTTTGGCTTTGCAGGTTGGCCTCGGAAGAATGGATATCCCAGCAAATGGTGAAATTTTAAATGTGGTCTTGACGTCAGAAGGATTGGGTTGGTTCCACACAACACGAGCGATGGGAGACCCAGAATGTGGGATGAACCCTAAGTTCACAACAAAGTTGGGCAACATCGGTAGAGGTTACCCGCTCAAGCCCTCTTCCCACCCACCTTTACTAACTTAAGTATATCGAGCGATGCGGTGTGTAGGTCTAGCGTTTGGTGGGACATGGAAATATGAACGAGTAGTGCGTATGCCCCTAGATTTATAGACGTAACTCCTCGGACACCGTTCCTCAACGCCTACGATCGGTCTGTCTCCTGACATCTTCCCAACAACACTAAATCCTTCGTTTTACCTACATCTCCTGCGTCCATTAGAATGTATGGATTCTGAGAGGTTCCTTCTCGCTTTCATAATCATGTCCTTCCCATGTCTTCCGCGCAGAGCCCAGTCACCCAGTACACTGGCCACGAACTGGACCAGCCACAAAAATACGTCATTGCAAGCTTTGCAGCTATTGTCTTTTACAGTTCAATCGAGCTAATTGCACTATGTCTCACGACCTTCAAGCGATACACGGGCTGGTATTTCTGGAGCTTGTTCATTGCATCCTGTAGTCTTATTCCACACGGCCTCGGCTTCATCTTTTTTATCTATCCACTTGGAGTTAACGCTTACGTTTCCGTCACATTGATTATAATAAGCTGGTACTGCATGGTAACAGGACATTCACTCATTTTATGGTCGCGTCTTCATCTTGTTGTGCAGGCACGTAAGCTCCTCAGGTTCCTTCTCATTATGATTCTCATCGATGCCGTTGCATTTCACGTTCCTACAACTGTTCTCTTGTACGGCTCCCTCAGTCCTAACGGAGCTCGGTTTGCAAGTGGATACAAAGTGATGGAACACATTCAGCTCATTGGCTTCGCTGTCCAAGAATGCGTCATCTCCTCCATCTATATCTGGGAAACATCGAAATTGCTACGGCTTCGACCAGACCGACTTCACTATACGATACTGACCCAGCTACTGGGCATCAATATTATTATTCTAATCCTCGATGTAGCCGTCGTGGGGATCGAGTATGCGGGTCTCTATGCCCTGCAAGTGATGTTCAAGCCGGTTGCATACAGTGTCAAATTCAAATTGGAATATGCCATTCTGGGGAAATTGATCCAAATTGCGCGGGTATCGTTATCAAGCGAGGAGCCGTTATCGTCCAGTTCACAAGGGCCCGATGGCCCTCCCTCTGATTCGGTCAGTTCACGTCCAACCCGTGCTGGTCATCAAATGCCAGTGCTTCGTTCATGCACACTCTGTGGGTTCTGCACAGGCGTTCGGAAGCCTGCCCGCCATCGGTCACACGTTTAACGAACTTGGACTTCATTATCTATGCGTGTTCAGTATAGAGGCGTCATATGAAATCATCCTCAGATATCAGAAACCACGACGGCGAAGCAGTAATAGTCCAATAGTTGAGCAGCTCCGCTCGGAATGAATCAGTAGCTCATCGGGCCCTGGTATTAAGTTCTATGACACAAAGCAGAGAGCTGTACAATACTGGCACTGCATCAAATCGAATCTGCTATTGTCGACAGCTTCCTTGGAACATGTGACGACCTCTACAACCCACTCATCCTCGTCGACGAGAATCATATGCACGTCACAAACGATACTTACACGGCGCGCTACCACCGGCATAGCCCGTTCCTAAGATCTCTAACTAAGGGACTTATAAAAAAATCGTGGATGCTCGCCTCTTTACGTGTCCCAGTGGCAATATTTTCAGATGTCGCTGATATATTGAGTGAGACAGGGATTCTGGAGTGTTGTTGCTGGGTATAGGGTTGTTTGTTGAATGACGACCGAAAGGAAAAAGCGGCAATCAGTGCTATTGTAGAGGATGGCTCCAATGACATGAAGACTCTGTACCTCTTCATTTGGTGACATTGCATATTTTAAGATCCGACGCCTCGAGGGCATCAAAGTCGATCTTGGTTGCATTAAAGGTCATAGACATCATTACACATAAGACCCATTTTATGTGGTTTATTTCTGTTCATTTTATGGTGCCTGGCATTCGCTTCATATCCCTTCCTTTAAATTGTATCGATTCTAAAAGGAACAACGATACATAAGCATTATGTTCAATTGTACTAGTGTCTTGACGCCCGAGCCGAGCCGATCTTATCGGAATCTCGGGAAGTCGTCCCGAAAGAAGTACCCGGGGGGTTTTATATATGCAGCCGATTTTTCTCCGGCTTTCGCAATTATTACTCCCGATGCGTACCTGGTAGAGAAAACTGTTCCACAGTGATCATGTTGGCACTATCCGAAATTGTTTTGCCGACGCTCTTTGGCTGTCGAGAGGTCTTGTATATATATAGTATGCTTGGGCGCGAGAAAGAACCTTGTATATGAATCTTTTTGACTCGACGATAATAGCTCTTAACGTCACTTGTAGGTCCCTAGAACGATAGGCTACTGGTCTAGCTCCCCATGGAAAAGATGGTAAGACTGGAGAGTGCGGATCATGGAATAAGCTTGCTGAGAGTCCAGCCAAATCCGTAGCGATTTGGACAGCTTGGGACCCGCTCGGGGCTAATACCGACCGGGGAACCGGGGCAGCAAGCAATTGAATTTTCCTCGGAACTAGCAATCTACTAATTCATTTTTGTCGGGGTTGTTAGAACCGTCTATACGGCGCTCCGATCAACAGTAGCCGAGGACCCGTATTACGACAACCGCGCTACTGAGCGCAGTATCCAATCGATGTCTCATTTTCTTTTCTTACTAGGTGGAACTATGTGTGCATCGAATGGCTATGGCATTCATAAATCCAGCCCTTTGGATTGAATGACTGCATCAATAAGGAGACTTGCAGCGGCTCCAAATCTTAAAGTCATTTGCTGCTGGGGACGATCTATGTTATGCATGTCTTGTTCTGGACTTCTACCCAATGTAGAACTAGTGTCATTAAAATCTGTAGGGAGGTAACGAATAGTTAGTTCATTCGTGCAGATGACGAATCGAAGGGCTCTCATTTTTCATACCGTATTCGGATAGGCTGGTTTGTGCACACATTCCATGCTATAGTCTATAGCATCTCAGGTGACCCGAGGTGCTCGGGTCCTGAACCCGATCCTCGAATTCGGTATATCATAACTCGGGTTACCACCTGCATGACAGTCTTGGCTTAGGAGTCTTGATCAATGCAATATGAGCTTCGGTAGAGCTTACACGTCGGGTTTTATAGCCTAGATCCTTGGCATAGTCCAGGCACAGCAAGACCCCATTCCCAACACGGTTTCTACACCCTAGCACAGGTGTTGATGGCGATCTGGGGACCCGATACCTTCCGAGAAGCGATCCACCTGTCCAAAAATGGTCAATACCTGGAGAAGGGGGAGTCGCCTAATAGTCGAGACGAGTGATGATCGACTTTTAGTAAGGGTTCCTGTCTTGGTTCTCGAACGGCTCCGCTACAATTATCACTTGCAACTCTCCATATAAAGAGGAGTGGAGATTGCAGTGAGAAACATAGGTGCTACTACACAGAAACTGCCATCTTATCTTTTCACCCCAGCTGCAATTTGAATTGTTTCAGGTCAAACTCGACCTTCCCGAAGGACCTGCGCCAAATCAATCTGAATAATCAGGACCCCGTAGTCGATGTCGCCCATATCCATCTTCCAGGACGCCTTGGGACGTTCTAGAACCAGAGATGGCAGCGACTCTGGTAAGCGTTGCCTTTTACGAAAGATAGGCAAAGGCTAACGACGGTGGAGTAGATGAACAGATCTCCGACGATAACCCTATCACGGTGACGTGGGATGGAGACCATGACTCGGCCAATCCGTACAACTGGTCCCTGGCTCAAAAATGGACATTGACCCTTCTCGCTGTATTCACCACATACATTACCATGATGAATGGCACGATTATCACAACCGCACACGCTGCAATTAGTGAAGAATTCCACGTTTCAGAGGAATCGTTTCCCCACTCTTACTGGCCTGTGACATCGTGGGCACTTGGGGGATGTTGTTCCTCATTGTTTATTCTTCCCTTGATGGAGGATCACGGCGTCCGTCCGATCTTCTTGTCAGCATATTTAGTTTTTATTTGCTTTCTCGTCCCTCAGGCCGTGGCACAAAACTTCGCCACTCTCATTGTGACACGATTCTTTGCCGGCAGCAGTGTCGCGGTTCTGGCGAATACATCTGCCTCAGTCATTGGTAATATCTGGGAAACGGAAAAGTCACGCTCCATCCCCGTGAGCCTGTACATCTTCTCCTACCTAGCGGGCAGCAGCACAGGTCCCGTTATTGGTGGCGCGATCTACGAAGGATTGACATGGAGATGGGTGGGGTATCTCCAGCTGATCTGGTTTGGAGCACTTCTTCCAGTGTATTACTTCCTGTTCAAGGAGTCTCGTGGTGCCGTCATACTCGCTCGTCGTGCCCAGGCATTGCGGAAACAGGGAAAGCCAGCGTTCACTCAGCTGGAGATGGAGGCACAGACAGGTTCCGCATTCAGTCGCTTCGTTCAAAGCTCGACCAGACCCTTGGTTCTGGTATGTACAGAATCCGTGGTCCTGGTTTCCACGCTATGGTCCGCATTCACTGTCGGCACACTGTTCCTTTTCACACAGTCTGCAGAGCAGGTCTTTGTGGACTTATATGACTGGAGTCACACCCAGGCTGGATATGTCCAAGCGGCCATTGTGATCGGGGAAGTTTTAGGCTGGCTTATCAACCTATTCTCCGCGAAGCTCTATTTTGGCTCTGCCTCGCGCAACACCGAGTCCCCGGGTGTGCCTATTCCGGAGGCTAGATTGTATCTGGCAGTGGTTGGAGGTGTGGTTGGAATTGCGGGTGGCATGTTTACCTATGCCTGGACCTCCTTCGCGCATATCCCATGGATCGCCCCGGCGATTGGTCTTGCAATGGTGGGAGCCGGCAGTGTGATCGTCGTGGCAGGGGTCTCGGACTATGTTGTGGATTCCTATAGCAAGTATGCCGGGAGTGCGATGGGCGCTGTCGCCACCGGGGAGAACCTGTTCTCGGCTTTGCTTCCTCTGGCGACCATGAGTATGTACACCAACCTTGGATTCCAATGGGCCAGCACTACATTGGCGTTTATCTCCTTGGTACTCTCCCTTGCGCCAACTTTGATGTTCTTCTGGGGAAAGCAAATCCGTGCACGAAGTCCGTTCATCATGGAAGCAGCGATGAGCTCGGAGCATAAGGGCGCAGGTGCTGTCTAGCGGGTCAGCCACACTGCATGCGAGAACATTAATGTGCTATGAATTATTAGAGTTGATAAGCAATAGATAGAAATGCAAAGCCCTATAGAGGAGCGAATAATTAGACAATTTCGATAGCTACAAAGATGTGACACATAACCTACATGCTATCCAAGTTGATGTGTAAAAATATGGAATCCTAGGACTGTAGGCTAGCAAGATGCAAATCGAGTTACGGTGGGCAAAGTGAAAGACCTGCGAACGATACCAATAGACACGGGCCAGGCACAAGTTTGTCTATACTCCTTAGGTTGACTAGGTAAACTTGTTTAGTGTCTAGAGTCTGTGAACTATTAACAATAGGAGATTGCAACGGACTGGTGTTTCAATCAAAGCATCGGGCAGGTGGGATCCATCCTGCCGCCGAAGAACCCTCAAGCGATGAAATATTGGTTGCTGAAGTGCGCACGCTTGTTGACAGGATAAACTACACAGCGCCGGAAGGCCCAACGTAGTTTCTCTTTAAGATACCACGGACAAACGTCATTCATCTTGGTGTAGGATTAAGGTCGTATACTAATCGAAGTAACAGTACAAATACAAGCGCACACCGGTTGCAATTGCGGGCCGCCAGAGCAAAGGGTGGGCTTCCTTGTGAAACAAGGGAGACACTGTGATCAGGCTCAGCACTTTCTTCGATTCTTCTAACTCTTGAACGGCTGGAACTCCCTTGTAAAATTCACCCAAACGGGTATGCCATAGCACCGCCGTCCATCCAGTCCTGGCCTGCATTCAAGACGTAGGGCATTTCCGAGCCGCCGATCTGATCCACAATGTGAAGAAATTCGTAGGAAGAGATGCCGATCACATTGTCGAGGGGATCGACGCTGGCCGTGACAGACTGATTTACGGAGGGTGACTGGGCTGATGACTCTGTGAAGGTTGGAGGCTCTGTCGGGGGCGTTTGTCCCCGGCATTCTTGACTAGGGGTCTCATCTGGCCCAGGCTCTGCAAGCCCTCGACCAGATAAAGTGAGGACTTGTAGACCTTCCTGCTGTACGCGCTTGGCGAACTCCTGGAATAACCCTTCGATACACCGCAGCTCATCCTTTCGTACCTCGGCCACCTTATTCCCACACATAATCATCTCATCGAGGATTGAGTGCGCAGACCTACTATACGTATCGTCGTTGGTCCCTGGTGGGTAGAGCGTGTTCGCCATAGTCAGATGGAGAGCAGCTGCATATGTAAATTCGAGATCAAATGGGAGGAATGTTTCTGGCGCTTTGTCAGCTGATGGTCTCTACCCCATTAATGGGTCCACATCATTTAACGTACCCAGGTGGCCATTCTCGTCCGACAATATTTGAAGCGTCTTCTCGGCAGACTTAATACCAATGAATATCAGGGATTTGGGAAGAGCTAGAAACTTTTGCCAGTCTTCCTCTGCACGGCCTAACTTCTCTAGCCGTTCCTTCAGGACCGACAGAAGCAAAGGTCTGGTGGCAACGATCACGCACTAGGATGACATTGATTAGCACAGTTAGACAGGTCTCAAACACTTCAGATGTGACACCCGTTCAAGTACCTGATGGTATAGTAAAATTATATGACGCATCTCCTGAGGCACATTATCCATGGAACCCTGGAAGCTGATCTGCATCATTTTTTCGATCTCTTCGGCATGCTTAGCCATGGCGTGCAGAATATTTCTCGTAATCTCTAGAAACCTCCCGAGCTGGGTCTTCTCTGTCCTATAGATGCCTATAGGCAAACACGTAAGAGATGAAATGGAATCCAACCCGGTCAAGTGGAAACTTACTACTTAATATAAAGGACAGCATTTGCGAAAGCCTCACTTGAAGGCTAAAGGTGATGTCATGAAAGCCCATGCTCGGGGTGTTGATCAAGGTACTGATGTCGCTGTCCTTGGTCGTCATCGGGAGTCCCAGCGAAGATGACACGTACCTGTCCATGATGTACAGGGTCCACCAGAGGTTTCGGCATCGGGTTACCGTTGCAGTGCCCAGTTCCTGTTCAGGAAGCTGGGTGTGTAAGCCCTCCATGTGTGCTATGCGTACCGCATGACCGACCTATGAGGCCCCGCGCGTAGGTTAGCAAGGAAACATCGAGTTGATCACCCATGCTTACGTGTACGTGAGCCGCCTCTCTGTGGTCTATTGCATACAGATATAGCCCGGCCAGGGCCAAGGTCTCGATGGCCAACAGACTATCCTTCCCTGTGGAGGTATGATTGGGCATTACGGACATAGCCCGCGCGAAGAACTTTCCGCCGGGTGCGCTGGATTGGTTTCGAGGCCGTGACACAAATGCATTGCCAAGTGCAAGGACCAAGAGGAATTGTACAAACCAATAACGAGGTTTGCTGGCCTTCTCCGCTGCATCGCTCGCGTAAAATTCATGCATCTGGGAAACAAAGATATCTTCATCAAAGAATCGGTACATTTGCCCCAGGTGAAACTTGACAATATTGAAAAGGTATAAGGCATAATCAGCCGAAGGCAAACCACTTGTGTCATACGGTTCGCTGGCCGTGGCGCGGTCCCAAACGAACGGATAGATATCACCATCCAAATAAAACTTCGGGATATTATGTGTCGAATTCAGGTCGAGCTTCTCAGTCATCATGACCATCAGTCGCGCTGTGAGTGACCATGCCGAGGTCGGGGCCAGCCAAACTGTTCCCTGTGTCAGCGTGGGCAACCAACATCATCATCATGGATGGCGGACGAACTCCAGTTTCGCTGTTCCATGTGCGGGTCCTTAATGACCGTGGAGGGTAATGTGAAAGGGCTCGTCCAGATGTTGCATGTATACTCGCTCCCCTGCGATGCTGATGATCCCCGGGACTGGGGGTCGACCATCTCTGCTGCGACCTGGTCATCATGGGCGGTACTCTCGTCGTCGACCTCATCCCCAAGCTTAAAGGCCGAGTCCCACGAGCGTTTGACTCCCGAAGCACGTTGCCAGTTGTAGGCCTGCTTCTGTAAATCACGAAGATACCTAGTAATCCATCGTCCCGTTACCTCTTGCCCACCCAACGGGGGGCTTGGCAAACGACCAACCTCTCAGACACCAGCACTTTACTATTTGCCTCTGAAAACTGGCAAGTGATGGATCGTCGGATACAGTTGGCGCAGGGTTCATCGCCAGAGCATTTTACCTTGCTCTGGCGGCAAGCGATACACCTAACCACATTCCTTAGTAACACGGCACATTTTCCCGTACCAGGATATGGGACTACCTTACGCAATTGCAGTTCGTCTCGGCTTATGGCTCTCTGCTTGCATCCCTGCTGTCTAGATAAAGGGGGTGGATGAACTGGCAGGCCAGGAGCTCTGGTGGTCGCCGGAACAACAAACCGTTCACTCACCCTGGACACAAACATTTTTGGTAGTTTTTATCATCATAGAAATCACACCCCGCACGACGGGAACACTTTTCCCTTTTCAGTCACCCCACGTGAGTGGTCAATTCCCGTCGTCGCCACCAAACAAAACACTGAATTGGGAGTTCCACTATTCGTGCGTTAACAGTTTCCCTTCCAGGGCAAAGCTGCCTCACGTGCGCGCATCTCTGCTTCTCTCTCGACCCCCTTACGGAGGACAACCAACAACCAACAACAATCTCTTCAGAACCTCACATGCGAAACACCATGTTATTCTTATCTGTTCATTAAAGGAAACTATTACATATAGCCTGGTAGTACTCTGTATTAATGCAATAGGTAAACATGGACATGCTATTAACGTTAGAAACTATATATATCTCCCTGTCGTAGAGCTCTAAGACCGAGGACATCTAGGAATAACGTGGACCCAACTTTGGTGTTGAAAGAGTTTCGATGACTACTAATAAATGTACTAAGGGCAGCGATAGGGTTACTATATAATAGAGATCATTCTAGACCATCCTCGAGCATCATTCTGTTGAAGAAAACAAGTTGAGCTGGCGATGCTGAAGTGGACGACAAAGTGGGGTCCCCTTTCGGAAGGCCTCCCGGTCTGATAATCGGACTCGCCGACCACCTAAATCGATAGCTTCTACGATACACCGACTTGGGCAAACTGGCTGAACTTGGAATTAAGTCAAGTCCGTCACGGTTGACCCGAGATACTAGGTCAGTGTCTTCTATAGACTGTCGATGATGATGTCTGACGCGATAACCGCCGAGGGATCTGCTATGTCCAGAGCTCGGAATCGCCAGCGAATATCTACCCGATTTGGCATGAGATGTGCGGCGGATTATTTTCGCTATCCCAACTCCAGACAACAACGCTCCGTCCTCGTCAGTCACACGTCGACAACATTTCTACAATACCTGTGACTTCTTCGCCATTGCGTGTGGCGGACACTTGCGCGACAAACCTCGACTGTCCGATCCGCAGTTATTGCGAACAGCCCGTGATCGACGATTGAAATCATGGTCGCAAATACGCGGGACTGCCCCCCTGCACTGGCGCACTATCTACGCTTTGTCGCAACGACCGGTATGTCAGCCACATCTCCTTCTTCGATTCCCTCCGTGCCAGAGTGTTATGGACTGTACTGTTCGAAACAACCCGAATAACCTGTACCAAACCCCAGTGGGCCGTGACAAGCTTCTACGTACGGCGCAGTACTTCTCACAGTTCTACATTTGGTACCTATACCGCAGAAATTACCGACAGTCGGTGATCGACCCTTACAGTGCCGTCCGGAAGCAACTTGGTACCACGCGCAAGATCCTACGTCTCGGCAACTTCTTAGGAAATCTCCAGTCCCTTGCCCGTGTCATGAGCAAGACGAACTCTAATGAACAACCGGTGCTAAAATACTTGGCTATTGGGGGTCAACTCGGCTTTGGGGGATACCTGTTCTTCGACAACATCACTGCAATCAAGGCTATCGGTATCCACAAGTTGCCGTCGGCGGAGCGCCTAGATGTTTTAGCGGATAAATTCTGGGCTGCCGGTTTGATTTGCAACATCATGACGTGTATCTACAGCTTGTTGCACTCGCAGCCAGGGAAGAGAACGAAACGCGAAGACGGCGAACGAGATTTGGATGATAAGACACGTGCCAAGTACGTTGGATTTCTGTATCATTCGCATGCGGTTCAGAATGCTAATTGGTTGGCTTCTAGGAAGCGATCGGCTGTCTGGATTCAGCTCATCTCGGACCTGTGCGACTTGACCGTCCCGGGAAAAACTTTGGGTTGTCCTGCGCTCGACGACGGCGTTGTTGGCATGGCCGGTACCATGAGTAGTTTGATAGGGGTCTGGAGCCAATGGAAGGAGACTGCGTAGATGAGAGCCCATTCTTATTACACACCGTTTTTTTAACTGTACATTTACCCTATATCATGAGACAGCCGGTATCGAATGAGGACGGCCTAGAACTTCATAGACTCCGTATAAGATACAATATCGGTAATCCAGCCACTGCGATGAGTCCTTCTACAGAACTGCCAAGCTCCTCTCATAGCTACAGAGCCTTGGAGCTGTTGGATGATACCCAGAGTCAATGTTCGATCGGAAACGTAGTTCTTCTCTGCAGCACATACCGTTCACGGTGGGCCAAGACGCCATTAGACGTCTTTTACTAAGCGATAAACCCCAGGTTCTAATGCCCGAATGATGTAAAATGGAGCCTAAATGGATAAATATGTGTCATGGTTATTGAGGTGAGCGCACCGCAGCGTTATGCAATCATGGGAAGACGCGGCACAACCGATATATCCCTTCCCTACCGCAAATGGTATTGATAGTTGTAACTGATGTGAGCGAGTCCGTTTCTATTGCACGGGCTATCACAACATGGTATCTTTGGCTGAACGCCCCGTATAGTGATGTGTTGGAAGAGGTCTCGACGGGGTAGCCATCGGGGTCATTACCGACGAGGCGTCGGCTGGCACGCGAACCGCACCGGGCAAAGTTCCTCCAGTATACTCGGCAATTTTGGCCGACGGCGTCCTATACAGAAAAACCACTCATACATTCTAATAGCCTCATCGGGAATGCCGAAGGTAGCCAAAACCTCAACAATGATGGCGATGACATTTGCGGGGTAGATCCTGCTGGCCTCAATGGTTATATATACCTCACTTCTATCGCATAGAACATGACAATTCTCCAGAGTTTCAAGCTCGACCAAACATCAAAGTCAGCGAATTCCGAGCCCAGCAGCATTACGTGTGTTCTACTCTATCACACAATGGCCCCAGCAGCACTTGATGACCCTACAACACCACCAAGGGTGGTGGGACCAGCAACCAAAAAGGCAACACGCCCGACCAACCGGATTCCTCAATCTATGATTGATGAAGCACGAATGGTGACAAAGGAAGCCTTTGACCCAAATGTCCACCTGAACTACGAACCCCCCAAAAAGATTTACACAATGAAGGAGATCGGACTTGCGGGTCATGGAATCTCACCGAATGCTGCATCGGAGCCCTTCTCGCTCTTTACCGAAGAGGCTATCAGGCAGATGAGAGCGGAAATCTTTAGTGAAGAGGCCCTCAAAGATTGCCAATACACATCAACCTTCATTAAAAACATGGTTCGAGGCATGGGTCCTGCGTACGTGCAACCGGCTTACTATTTGGTTTCACAATTGCTAATCACTGACCATTCTCACAGGCTCGCTCCATTTATTTATGATGCGTGGAATCATCCAGACGTTATATCCAAGATTTCTGAAGTTGCTGGTGTGGACCTTATTCCGTCGATTGATTTTGAGATCGGGAACGTCAACATCTCTTTTGGTGATGGTACCACGGCCACGTTGGGTAAGACAGTGGATGTCGAGGACAGAACATCTGCCGTTGCCTGGCATTACGACAGCTTTCCCTTTGTGTGCGTGACAATGCTATCGGACTGCACTGGCATGGTTGGTGGAGAGACTGCCCTCCGGAGACCCGACGGACACATCATGAAGGTTCGCGGTCCAGCAATGGTATATCCTTCACATGTATCCCAGAAAGGCCTGGATCGAGTGCTGACTGTTATAATAGGGAACCGCTGTGGTGTTACAAGGGCGATACATCGAGCATCAAGCGTTGAAAGCCCTCGGTGGCCGTGAGCGGATTAGCATGGTCACATCTTTCCGACCCAAATCACCTATGATTAAAGATGAGACTGTACTCACTGGTGTACGGGGAATCAGTGAGCTGAACAGCTTGTACAGTCAATATACGGACTACCGACTGGAGCTCCTAGAGGAGCGTCTTAGAATTATTTTGAAGGAAGAGCGACGCCGGCAGGCCGCAAACCGCCCCTTTGATATACCTAAGATCAGGAGGTTTCTGTTGGAGCAGAAGAATTTCTTGGATTCTATGCTCGAGGAGCTTATTGAGGTGGATGATTAGATATTCGCTAGGGGCCAGGTGGGGGTCAAAGGTGGAAATATCTTGAACAACCCTGTTATTGTAATTTACGCTAGAAAGGATAGACGAGTCATGCTAGAGAATCAAACGTATTCACATTAAAACTTGTATCCATAGACTCAGGCGACACTGCTATCACCATCATCTCACTCTCTGTGAACCCTGCCCCAGTTTCTTTCTAGATTGACTATCAGCGATATATCGTATGAACTATAATTGTTACCTTTTTTTTTTAAAAAAAAAATATATATATATGTATATAAATAAAATAAAAATAAAAATAAAAATAAAATCATAGGAAAACACTTTAACTATTCAAATACATCATACATTTACATAGGTATCTCGAGTGGCTGTAGCCGAGCTGAGTCGACTCATATCCCTGTGCGAGGTTGCATCGAAAGGATGATAGCCCAAGGGATAGAAGATGTAATCTGCCATGATTGTCCTTTTCCTGCAGGTTCAAGCTCCCCTAAACCCTGGACTACTTACAGAGGCCTACTTAGTTCTCGTCCTTGCACCCACTCAAAGAGGCCTGCATACCAGCGCGTTGATTGTGAGTTGACATTGACACAATAGGCCATAGCATAATGTACTCGAAGAAATTGAAATCTTGGAGCACCATTTTCAGGAATTTCGCCTTCTCATCCCAGTCCTCGATTCCAATATTCCTAATCACTCGCTGGAGTAGCCGCCAAACTGCCATGTACCATCTCCAAGATAGGTATAGCATATAGTGGCCGCCGATGACGACTTTAGTCCCTGCATGCTAAAGCAGCCTCTTCAATTATTTATTTAATATCCATCTAAGCCGATCGGAGCCCTCATTCCAGCGGCCTTCACTGGTGTTTGTCCCAGTCCTATCGCACATCAGGCATTAAATCGTTCTTGGGTAGCTGCACAGCTGGCGGAACCACATAGGTTTGTGTATCATACTATAGAAGAATACGAACAAATACATGGATGCTAGGGCGCTATTCTATCACGTAAAGTTCTAAAGCAATGTATCCCTAATTTCACTAATCACTGACCAAGACCATGCTTAAGTCTGTCTTCTGGCAATGTGACGGGCCCATGACAGAAGTATTGAAAATACGCCATAGGACATAAGTAGACCAGCAATAAGGGCAGCCAAGCCGGTGCAGCGGCCATGCAGTCAGCACGTGGTAGTAGATCCTTAAGATAAGCATATGTTAGTGCATTGGCAACAGAAGACACGCCCATGGCACTATAAAAGCCTGATAGCCCTGGCATATACCACCCCCCTGCACTGAACATTGGTATCATGTTTGCATCACTGTGTACGGTTTGGCGGTGGTTTATATGCGACTACATTTGAACCTCGAGATCTGAACATTGCCAAGACAGGGTCCAGATAATACCCAAGGATGCTCCAGGCCGCGCGCCTCAATGAGGTAAAAGAGTGTTCCCTGAAGTTCAAAGTATGAGACTGCAAGCTAGATGTACTATTTACAAAACATATTTCTAGGAAACTGGACGAGATGTGAGGACTTCGGCTGTCGACGGTGCTCTCATTTTTCTAACTGGATCGGGTAATTTAAACCAACATGTCGGCCTTCGGGTCAGCCGATCGTCAGCGCCTCGGATGAGAACCCGAGGGCTGCGATCCACATGATGAATACGCAGGAGTTGAATTGCAAGAGCCGACAGACAATTGAACGGAGAAGTAGGTTGGTATGAATTAAATATCTCTCAACACCCCCTCCGCTGGTTGTCATTTTGAGAATCCTTCATCTTCTGTACTATAATCCTTGAAACGTATTCTTCGCCCTCATGTTGGACGTTATTGTGATTGGAGCTGGCTTTAGCGGCCTTCAGGCAGCCTATTCGGCTCAACAAGCTGGCCTCTCGACTGCCGTTGTTGAAGCCCGGGATCGCGTTGGTGGCAAGATATGGAGCGTGCCACTTGCTTCTGGCCGTGGCTACGCTGAGCTTGGCGGAGCATGGATCAACAACAGCCTCCAGCCGCGTGTCTGGAAGTATGTAGAGAGATTTGGCCTGGAGGTCGTGACGCAGCGGTTAGAAGGAACGGCTGTCATGCAAGAAAATCAAGACAGTCGACTTGAATTTCCTTTTGGCGTTACGCCAGACGTGAGTAACAATCTATTCCCCTCATTTGCGCCAACAGGAATAGACCTGCCCTAACTGATAGATACAGTGGTCTGAGGCGGAGAAGAAGAACTTGGAGTATATTCGCGATCACATCCAAGCTGAATCTTTAAAACCTGGCTTGCCAAGTGCACAGGATGACAGTGTCAGCTTGGATCAGTATGTCCGCAATCTCGGTGCCCTGCCCAAGGTTGCCAACATGGTAAATCTCTGGGCACGGGTCATGCATGGTTTGGAGTCAACAGAAGAATCGGCCGCCTGGTTTATTGACTACTGCCGCCGCAATAAGGGCCTTCTGGCCATCAGGGCGGATGATTCTACCGGCGGTCAATACATGAGATTCAAAGATGGTACGGCTTTACCTGGCTAGTTAAATGCCGTGATATGACTAATGAAACTTATAGGGGCCCAGTCAATTGCTGAGGAAATTGCTCGCTTGGTGGGAGCGCAGAATATTTACCTGGGGTCACCAGTTGCTTCGATCAACGAGCACGGCTCATATATTAGCGTCGTCACCCGCGATGGGAAAACGTTTGATGCCAAGAAGTGTATCTTGTCAATTCCCAGTACCATGTACCGGGAACTGAACATCACCCCTGCTTTGCCCATGCCGGTTCAAGAGGTCACCGATGGGACTGTCCTCGGTGACTATAACAAGGCTATCGTCTGTTATGATAAGCCATGGTGGCGTGGTGAAGGATTCAACGGTTATTTCGCGAGCTACACAGGTCCTGTGATATTGGCCAGAGACACCAGCGTGGACGAAAGAAACCACTTCTCCTTGACGTGCTTTGTTAATGGCCAGCCTGGGCGTGATTGGGGCAAGCTGTACCCCCATGAGCGTCGCGCAGTGGTCCTGAAGCAAATCGCGAAGATCTTCAAAGCCGATGCCGACTCGGAAGCTTTCCGGCCAATCGAGGTCTTTGATCAGGTTTGGAAGCACGAGGAATTCAGCAGAGGTGCTTTAGCTCCTGTCCATGCAATTGGGCATCTCACCAAATACGCGTCTGTGTACGGCAAGCCGGTCGGCAATATTCATTTCGTGGGAACGGAATATAGTACAGAATGGAAGGGATACATGGAGGGAGCTCTCTGCTCAGGAGAACGGGGGGCTCGTGAGGTCGTGGAAGCCATGCAGAAAGTACCGGCAAAACTATGATGAATTGTTTTAATTCCAGGTTCCGCTCAAGTTCTGTTACTATCCATATTAGCGCTGTACTACTTACCTCTAGCAGATGAGAAATGAAAGCATCTGATATCTTCATGAACATTTTGTTTGAAGGGTTTCCTTCACCCATATAAAACTCTCGACGTAGGTGTTGACTTGGAATTGTTACCTGGTCTCAGCCAAGAAAAGAAGCTACATGATGAAAATAAACATCTGGATATAATTCCCTATACCAAGCACATAGGCTGAATGGTGTACTAGTCATAAATTGCAACTTTCGGTTTCCTTTCTACTCGGCTGTTTAATGACTTCATACACGAAGTAAGAAATCTGACCGGAAGACTACCACAATCCCCTTTGACTCAGTGCAAATAACATAAAGCGAGGAGTAACAGCAGCAGTATAACTCAGTAAATTTTACTTCTATTCTTTTTTGTTCATACTAATATACTTTTGTTCATCCAAGCCGAGTTAGAGGAAAGCGCTGTACGGAAAAGGATGAACGCCGATTGGAGGCAAAAGAGGAACTAAACAAGCTACCATAGAATATAATCTGTCTATCTTGTATATTACTGGGATTATGTAAAGAAAATAGTACAGATCTAAAAAAAAAAAAGTACGGGGTAAAGGATAAACAAAAAACAATCCTATAAAAAATGAATTGTAATACATAGTATTACAGGGAGTATCCGTATTATGTGTTATACGATATTATAAATACTCCTATTTTGAATTAATCTAGGATTGACAATTGTAAATGTGAAGAAGCGGGACGATCGATCACCCAGTAGCCTAAATTAGAACAGCTCAAAAGTCGACTTCAGCTGAGCTGAGGGTTTGAATCTTAATCTGCGGACCCCCGCTAGCGCTAGCATTGAAATTGTCGCCACGATGTGCCATCTTTCATTCGCAACTCCATAGAATCTCCACCCTAATGGTATGTATCTGGCGGTCAAGGCATTTCCACTGCGCCTTGCGGTTCGCCGTGAATTGAAAGACCTCGCCATATAAATCAGCGTGCAGAAAGCAATATGTAAGACTAGACACTACCGTCACCACGGAAATCTCCTTCTAGTTTTGGATATAGCTTCAATCGTTATTATGTTTTGCTTGCCATTCTGGACGCTAGCGTTCACCTTCCCTATTATAGCAATTGTCGTGCTTGGGATCTACCGGCGATGGTTGCATCCACTGGCTTCGATTCCCGGTCCATTCCTGGCCTCTGTAAGCAACTGGCACCAAGGCTGGCGCTTTATGAAGGGCGGGTCCCAAGAGTATTATCTCCGTCTACACGATGAATATGGTACAAGCTTCAAAACATCTAGATAAAACACCAAATGGAGTGCGCGACTAGAGGAATGGAATAGTAACTTGAATGTCACAGGGCCTGTGGTTCGCTATGGACCAAACTCTGTGATGATCAACGACCCTTATTTCCTCCCTCACATCTTCCACCGTCGCGCGGAGAAGACCTCCTTCTACGCTAACAGCCCCGGACTATTTGGCGTCCAGGACTATCAGGATCTGCTGAATATTAAGCACGGACTAGCTTCGGTGGTGAGTAAGACCAACAGGTATGTAGGCTCTCCAAGGTTGAAACTCATTCGCCTTCCACAGTTCTCTATGGCATCCATCAAGGCGTACGAGTCGCAGGTAGACAGATCCCTACTAGTATTACTTGATGGGTTGAGTGACAGTCATCCATCTATCACCTTGGATGAATGGATAGGGTACGTCAGTGATGCCCTATGCTCGATTCTCTCACCTACCATGGTATGCGACTGATCCAGCCACGTATTAGATGGTTCACGTACGATGTTGTTGGCAGTATTTTATTTGGAGAGCCAATTGGGTTTCTTGAGAAAAGACGAGACATCCAAGGGTTGGTTGCTGGAACGTCGCAGGCCTTCGATACCATAGACTATCTCGCTCGTGTCCCAAAGCTCTCCTGGTTCTACCGGAAGACTTACCTCGGCCGCAAGCTCTTTCAGCTCCAAGCTGAGTACCGAAATGGAATACAGATTCTGCAGACTGTAATGAATAACTGTCTTTCGTGAGTCTTCCAAGAGCATGAACCTTTTGCTAATTGAGAGTCAAGGTACTGGAGAAGGAATACGACCGTCACTATAACGGGACAGATTCAAAACCCGCAAAGTCCCAGACAATCTTCCAACGGTACATGATCCCTCATACCTTGGCATCAAATCCAGTAGCCATGACTAACACAACGATCAGTCTCATATCTTCCAACTATGCGAATGGCACCCCACTCACTGCACACGACGTAAAAGGCGAAGCCATGCAAACAATGTACGCGAATATTCCTGATATAAGACCATCAACTTTAATAACACGAGAATAGGATGGCAGGCTCTGCAACAATAGCTTCAGCCACAAACCGACTCTTCAACAACCTCATCCAAAACGCCCACGTCCTCGTTAAACTCCAACGGGAGGTTGATCAAGTCCGGTCAACCCAAACAACCCACCCGATCTCCTTTGAACAGGCGCATGCCCTTCCCTACACCAATGCCTGTATCAGAGAATCGTTTCGTCTCACCCCAACCATTCCGCTCTTCCCGCGCAAAGCCCCAGACAGCGGACTCACATACAAAGGGACATATATCCCCGAAGGGACAGCGGTAGCGTCGAGTCCATGGATCACGATGAAAAGTACCGCGCTCTACGGGCACGATGCGGCGGTTTATCGCCCGGAAAGGTGGCTAGAGGCTTCGCCGGAGACGTTGAAGCAGTGGGATCGTTATGAGTTTCACTGGGGGTACGGGAATCGATTGTGCACCGGTAAACATCTTTCGGTGATGGAAATTTATAAGCTTACGTTTGAGGTATGTTATCTATCCCATTGACTGCAGGTGGCTGTCCATTAGGAGGACTTTTGGGCTAATAATCGGTATTACCTTAGCTTATTGCGCATTTTGACTTCTCGTTTGCAAGTGATGGGTCGAAAAGTGTCCGGGTTCGAGAGGGGATATAGAGATAATACACTCTATCACCAAATACGCATGAAGTCTGCCTATGAAAGATAATGACTTTGCGCTATACGTTCAGCTGGCGCCCTTTCAAAGGGTAAGGAGGGATCTGATGCTTCTTGTTTTGATTCGATATGGAACTTGTTGGTGGGGTGTGCGGAGTAAGAAAGATCGACAATTGTTGAGAGCTGAACGGTGGACCCTCTTGGTACCGAGAAACCACACGGGCCAATTTGATGTTACGTACAAGATATGAGAATATGACCGATCAGTCTGGAGGTCCATATCAATCCTGATATACATAGATGTTCTACCCATCATCTTATTAAGAAGCTTTAACCATTCCTAGTGGAGTCCAGTCACCTTGCCAGCGAGGTATGACTCCATAAAGTGGTGGATGGAAAATAATAACATTCCTCCACTTTGGTAAAGTCCAAAGAAAGAGAAAAAATAATAATAATTGGAAGCTGTAACGAGGTGTGTATATTGCCAAGGCAACCCCTAAAGGTTACTCGTAATTCACGACCCGTTCCCCTCTACCTCTACCAGTCGATAAGCGACCGACATCGGCCAGGATCTCCGCCATCTTGCCGATGATCTGATCGATGACGAGAACTAGAGCCCACGTCAGGAACGCAACGAATGGCAGGATGATCGGTGGGAGAACTTACTATAGGCATACAATAGGCTGTATGTTTCGTCAAGTGCCGACGAAGAGGTTTCGTCCCCACTGCGATAGAGGAAAATAGTGGCCAGAAGGCGGTCGCGTGAATGCTTCGCTTTGGAAAGGTCGACCTGGTTCGGCGGACATGCGTGCGTGATCGACGAAGCGATGGCTAAGGTTCGGTGTCAATCATAACTCGTCCACTATGACGTGGACTGGGCCTGGGGGAGAACTTACCTCCTAAGAGGTGGCTAATCTGCCCGGACAGATTTTGTCGCTCCCGAGACGTGTATCGCAGCAGAGACAATTGCGGCTCTGAAGGAGGCATACCAAGCAGCTGCAGATCTAGGGCATGGAGATCATCCACGATGGATTGAGTGTGTTGAATGATCTTGCCATATGCGGTGTCGGGAAAGGGGGCGTTCAATTCGATTTCGTAGCGGGCTGCAACCCGAAGAGTCTCGAGCTCTGAGAGCAGGCTCTGCATTTTGAGCCGGTCCTCCGGCGTCATATACAAAGCAGCAACGCCCGGATTCGTAATTCGCCGAGCCAAGGGGTCTGTTTCCCAAATGCGACCTAATCGGAGCCAAACCAGCTTCAATGTAGTCCTGAGCTTCTTCCGAGCACTGATAGGCCAAACGCCACGCGTCACAATAATGCCCCAAATGCATCCCGAGAGCACCGCTGCCACTCGGTGCAGGGTAATTTGGGTTATATCCGGGTTGCTACCGCTTCTCTCATCGGGATCTTCGTCGGCGCTACTTTGGGATAGCGAAAACGAATAGAGCACGGATAGATTATAAGTAAGCATGATAAATCGACCCAACGGGCCCTGGCCCTTGAGCAGACTGATGTAGAAGGTACATATGGCCATGACGAACCCAAGAACTGCCAGCCCAAAGGCATTGCTGCCCGCGATCGACCAGACGAGGATCGAACAAAGTGCTCCAATACACGTCCCCAGAAATCTGGCATACCCAGTGGTGTTTGACGCACCGATAGTCATCGAACAAACTAACATGTACGAGACCAGGCCCCATTCCCCTTTCCAGTAAAGATATATGGGCCGCGTGAAAGAGAGAAAAGAAGGCAAAGCAAAGAGTGCTGCGCCAACACCAACCTTGAAAGCAAATATTGTTTCGTCTTTTCGGAAGAAGCTCGATGCTCCCCGAATATGACGGCAGATTCTATCTCTAAATGGTTGTAATCGGGAAGGTCTTTCAAAGCTGGACGTTCCGAGCAGCTCCGTGTGATAGCCCGGAGCCACTTCAGTCAGGGAAGGTCTGGGATCTAGTCCTGGCACGTATTGTCAATATCCGTAGTCAACTGACGTCCCATTTGTGGTACTCACCATCATTCGGATGATTCATATACCGACTTCTCGGTGGATCTCGTCGCCAGAACTTGATCCAACTCCATGATTTCTTTCTATGGTACCCAGCGGTTGTAACTTCGAAGTCCGCGAGAATCGTCAGCAACTCTCCCAATTGTTCACCGAACTTCAGTAACGAGTGGCTGAAATGCGCACAGATGGCGGCCACCTCTTTGAAGTATGCTTCCTGTTCGAATGTCCCAGTTGAATTATCCAATTTCTCTCGGTAAAGCAGGCCAAATGCTTCTCTCTGGGCCTCGCGATATTCTTCAATGGCTTGGGTGAGGATGGCCGCGGAGCCGTGGCTCATAGCGACTCTGTTGTCAAGGGATAGCCCCAGAGGGATTTCCGCGGATATATTAATTAACGTGAGAGTAAATGACCGCTGTTATAGGTTAGTAAGGAAAGAATGTTGTAGGTACAGATATCGGTAGACCAGGGCCAAGTACCATAGAGGGACCTAGTCGGTCAACAAAGGAATCAAAGAGCTCCGTGACCAGTAAGCTCTCCGGGGCTAATCCATCGCTAACTCTGCCTAGCTGTGCCGCGACGGGCTGGCCGTTATCCAACGCAGTCATTTCCAACATTCCTATGTCTACCGGTTGAAGTATGGGGTCATCGCCGGAAGATGTCGTGCTTTGCCGGTCGTTCGAAGTTGCCGTGGAGGCATTCGCATTGGGACCATCAAGAGGATGGTCGGCGAACTTAGGTCGCTTGAGCGTCTCTAAAGCTAAAAGTGCCGAGCTGTGTAGAGCGCCCGTAGTATGTACGATGCCATGGGCCCAGTGAACCAGTTTTTCCTCATGACAGTATGCTCTCTCCCAGCCTGCAACGTACTGCTCCAGCTTCGTCTCATATAGCAGCTTGTGTAACTCCCCGTGGGCCTTCTTCAGACGCGTGGACGCTCCGGTATAATCGAATCCCTGCAAATCGTGTTGCGTCCTTCGCAGGAACCCCTCCGTGATGGTCGATTGTATGATCGCCATTGACCTGGTGGCCACGGCCAGGTTCGAGCGCAGTTTCTTCTGTGCCGAGACCGGGAAGACCAGAAACGATACGGTCATCGTGGCACCAATGCCCATGAGGAGCATCTTCAAGACCTGTGATACCTTTGCGAGCGAGACACTGCCCCGCTGAATGGCGCCTTCTTTCGTGAGAACCACGATCAGTGCAAGCGACGCCAGCGAGCAGGCGACATTGACCAGTGGATCGCTCATCTTCTGCTTTGTCCACGCAATGAACCCGAATCCCAGGCCGACAAAAATGATCAAAACCAGCGCATGGCCCAGTTCAATCATGCGCCGCTGATGGAAGTATATGGTCACGTACATGCTTGTGAGCGAGACGAATGCCGCGTAGATGAATGCGAGGGCGGCGCATATCAGGGCTTTATACATGCTCCCTTTTGACCGCGCGGGGTGGAAGTACACCGTGATGGTGGCGACGATATGTTTTCCTTCTTGAGGACCTAGTAATGCCGCAACCACGGGGATGAACGTGGCCAGGGAGCCGAGGAGGTATGCCAGACCACATTTCAAGACTCCGATCCCTTCATCCGACGTGATGAATTGCCGTGTCTGCAGCCATCTGTCCGTTACATGCTCGATTATTTTTGCGACAAACCCTGGCTGCGTGCGGTTGGGCTCGTTGAGGAATGGCTCTCGTTCATCCTCACCAGGACTCCGGATGCCAGGACTTGCGATGGGAAGGAGGAGGTCATGATGAGATCCGGTGAGGGCGGAGGGAACCGAGGCCTATTCATCATGGTCGGATCTTAGTGCAGGGATTCGGACAATAAATAAATCAATAATTTGGAGAAGATGGAGTGGACTCAGTGGAGCCTTTGGTTTAGAGTGCACAGGTTGACGTTACCTCCGGACGCACATCAGCAGAGCTGGTCAACAGGGACATCACATGTGTGCGAAAGTAAACTGATAGTTGTCAAAGTCGTGTCCGATGGGCAAATCAGGACGTGCGTGAGGAAGAGGCGCATCCTCACTGTCGTTGGCGCCGACTCTGTTTCATTGAGTTGGAGAGGAAGTATTGCGGGAGAATGCCTGAATCTGCAGGATTTCACAAGTCCAGGCACCCACTGCTGACTCAGCCCGATCCCCAGAGTCACCTGACCTGGCGAGACGACGATCGCCAGACCACAAGAATTATCTCATGCTGACGAGAAGCTTAGCAGATATCGACCGCTCGCCTGGTCCAACCAAAAGCTAGTAAGTATAATGTAGCGTAGCTCGTCTTCATTTGGATTTAATCCTCTATCAAATCTCCTCGTATCTGCCGTCACGTGAAGGGGGTGACCGAGACGCCGCGTTCGGCCTCTTCTGAAACCCTCACTTCATGGTAGAAATATATAGACTGCACAAGGTACCACGGTTGAAGAACACCGTGACGGCATCATTACTCCAGAGCCCCCTTGCGCAGCTTGCATCCCAGTCTAAACTGTAGGACTCCTTCTACCCTCATTGAGTGTTTCCGATGCATTTCTACCCCAAAGCACGACATCAGCCACACCCCAGCATCCACGACCCTTCTGTTCGCCGGCGTCGATGGGGACTGCTCAAAGCAGCTGGTCTGAACTTCATCGTACTGCAGCTTCTCTTTCTCGGTCTCTTCTGTTACCTGTTTGGCTCCCTTTTCCAGCAGACCACGCATACGCATAACCTACACGTTGTCTTTGTCGACTACGATGGGGGAGCTGTGGGAAGCGCAATTCGCGCCGCGTATCAGCAGCTAAAGGGCCCTGGTTTCCCCACGTTGAACGAGCAATCGGTGTCGGCGTATCCCCGGCCGAGCACCGTCACATCTGCCGTATGTAATATCGACTACTGGGGTGGGTTATACACGTCTGCGAATGCATCAAATCGCTTGGCTGCCGCATTCGGAGGAGGTTCCGCGGCAGCCTCGTATAACAACAGCGATGTTCTCACTCTGGTCTGGAATGAAGCACGGTACCCCGCCGTGGTGGATTCCGCCATTGCGAACAATATGCAGTCACTTTCGGAAGCTGCACGAGTGGCCTACTTCAAAACAAATGGGATGCAGGCACTCGGGAGCTTGAACGACACTGATCCCGCTGCCATTGCGGCGTTTACCAACCCTTGGACGTTGGCTTCAATCAACATCCAGCCCACTACTCAAGGCTCCCGACTCATCTACAATACCTTGGTAATTATCTTGATTCTCATCCAGGAATTCTTCTACTTGGGTTACATCAATGGCCTGTATCAGCAATTTCAACTTTATGTCACCATAGCAGCGCCTCGAATTGCCACCGTTCGCCAACTCATATCAGGGTTATACACGCTGTCTGGATCGCTGTGTACAACGGGCGCCATCTGGGCCTTTCGCCATGGGTGGCATGTCGATGGAGGACAGTTCGCCATGACCTGGATGGCCTTGTGGCTGTTTGCCCACTGCAACTTTCTTGTCCTCGATGTCTTCACGATCTGGCTCCCCCCACCGGCTGTGCCGATGGCCCTCATCTCGTGGATAGTTTTGAATGTCACATCGATACTTCTCCCATTCGAACTCTCCCCAGGATTCTATCAGTGGGGATATGCGCTGCCAGCACACAGCATCTTTCAGGTGCTGGTGGACATTTGGTCCGATGGCTGCAACCCGCAACTTTACTACGCGTTACCAGTTTTATTCGCGTATGAATTGATCGCACTAACGTTAAGCTCTGTTGGGGTATACCGGCGGGCACACTACGCCGTCATTGCGAAGGAGACAGAAGAGAAGACGTGGAAGGACCGTGTCGCTGCGGCGCTATCGGAGCAACAACAGCAACAAATGCTGGAGGAATCTCCGTCGCCCTCGACACCGGACTCGGCGCTGACGGAGAGTCAACAGCAGCAAGATCGTACACGACGGCGTAGTACTGCTGCAGGTATTACTGATCAAGAAGCACTGACCGGGCAGCTATGGCGAGAGATGTCCAGGGTCGAAAAGGCCCCCACTGGCCGACGAAATACCGGTCCCTGTTTCGATTTGCCTTTCACTGACTAGTTATATGCGGTTCTCACTGTGTAGAATCCCTTTGTACTTGGATCGCGATCTATGCGTGAACTTTAGTTTTAAGTGATATAATACCAGTAATATATCTGAAATTATAAGGATCTGGGACTGTTATATATGTCGGTTATTTAAGTACTCGTGAGTAACATTTCAGCCAAAGGCAATGTAGTTTGATTTGCAAGTGACCACAGCGAGACAACGAGAAGCGAAACAAAAGTCAACGGTGTTGAACCTGCGAAAAGCACATTGGGCCATTTCAAGAATCTCTCATGTAGTTCTTCAACCAAACAATCTTGTCAATCCTAGCCCTACACCTCTTTCCAAAGATCCTAGATATTGGAGCGGGTTAACACTGGACGGGCACTCCGGGAGGCTCAACTTACCAAATCGGTATTGTGAGAAGGCTAGTGAAGATGAAAAGGCTACCAAGGACGACAAACACCTTCAGTGTTCCCTCTTTGTCGAGCCATTCATTGATAACATAAAGGATTCCAAAACTGAGGAAGTTTCGAGAGTTAACGGCCACGAAGGCCTCCTCACCCAGAGCAGTGTAGGCATCAATGATATATCCGAAGACACACGTTGAGCAAAATGCGAGGGATGCATTGACCAGCCCGTATGTGATGACGGGCCCGGTCCAGTGCGTCTTGTAGTGCACGGTAGCCCCAAACCCGTAGAACCCAGCTACACCCAGGACGAAGCCCACAGCCATCAGGACCAGTCGAAATTCGGGTTCGTAATATCCATTGTTCCTCTTCGTCAAGTACAAACAGATTTTATCACACAGGGGCCCCGAGATGATCTCGGACACAACGCTGAGGACTAACGGCGAAATATTGATCAGACCAATCTGTGAGGTACTAAAGTTATACGGGGGTTCGTTGAAAATCACTCCGTTGACGTAGCTAAAGGCAATGGTGAACGTAATTGTTGTACCCCAGGTTAGGAATGCCCAAAGGATTCCAGGATAGAGAAACCTATGGCCATTAGTTGATAGTATAGATATCAAGATACCAGGGGCTTACAAGATAAACGGACGACTGATTACCTTCACGACTGAGGCATTAGAATATCTCCCCGTGTACACTCGAAGGGATCTCCAATAGGAGTCTTTCCGCTGTGTGATTAACGGTGGATGGCTTGTCTGCTGTTCATACTTTCGACCTTGGGGTTCCTTTTCAATGTCATCTATTGTTTCAGAGGTCGGCTGAACAACATCTTCGCCTGGTACGGCCTTTGTGTCCGGCTGCTCGATACTTGAGGCCTCTGTGGAGGTGTGAGAAGTGCCAGCCACTCGAATATACGACGTTTCCGGGGCAAGAAAAAACAGGGCTAGAGTGAGGACCCCGTAGAAAATAGCACATACGCCAAAGGCCCAGCGATACCCGGAATACTGGATGATATATGCACTAACGATCGGCCCAGCCGAGATGCCGCTCACTAGGAAGAGGTTCCAAAAAGCTATGCGTGAAGCGCGTTCGTGCACAAAATACATGTCCCCTATAGTACATTGCACAAGGACCTAGAAGTGGTGAGCAGCCATGGGTGAGACTTTGTGATGCCCCTATGTGCACGGACGAAACCCTAGGAACGTGTACTAACCTCGTATGGACCCATGCCTAAGCCCCCTACCAGCCGACAAGCAAGGAACGAGCCATAGTCATGTGTCAGCGCAGCCCCAATGCTTGATGCAAAGAGCAATATCCCCGATACTAAATACACGGGCCGTTTCCCATAGCACTTGGCCAGTGGGTTGCTGAAAAGGAGAGCAATTCCGATTGCCAACACCAGGTAGGAGGTAGCTTGTGAGATCTCATTCACGCTAACATTAAGCTCCTCAGATATCTCAACAAACCCAGGCCCCAACATAGGCCCATATGCCCCCACAATCGCGGATAGGAGACTGACATTGAGTAAAATAAAATCCTTTCGCCTGCATCACAATGGCAGGGTATCAATATTTAATCCGAGTATCGTTGGGGGGGGGGGGGGGGTTTCCATTACCATTGTGGCCACTGAGTAGTTGATTGAAGTCAATACGATTGTGTATACATGGAGAACTAGCCCTCACCCAACTTACATTTAAAGGGTCATTTGGAGAATCTGAGGGTTGGGGAACCTGCCTCGCGCAGTGAGACTTAAAGTAACAAAACAAGAGGATTTTGGTAGGAATGTACCAAAACAATGCCACGACGTTGATGGGGGGCCTTTGCCGAAGCAGAGGTAGTATCACTACTACCTTCAATCAGTGGCTGGTGACTTAGAATCACTGCTATTATTAGTAAAGAGCAGAAGAGGGATATGGCAAGGAAGCGTATGCACCTGTTCCAGGAGGTGATTCACCATCCTCGCACTCTAGCATTCCAAACACCATGATGGCAATGCCTTGGCCCCGACTATACGCGGGGTGCAAATCTCAGAGGGTTGTCTTATAATGTGCTTAAAAATAACGCACAGAAGCAGCTGGTGGAGCAAGGTTCATATAGTCTTGTCGCCGAGACATTTGAGCCGAGTGCCCGGACTGAAATGAATTAGAACTGTATATGGCGAACACTTCACGCGACTCAACCATTGGAACTGACACGCCTTCTGTGCTAGTTGGCTCGGCTGCCACTGAAGCTACAAGGTGAAAGCTTCCCCCACACGCATGGGCATGAAGATCCTTGTGGGGAACACTTTAACCGATCCCCCACCTTAATTGTCGGTCAGTGCGATTATTTACGCATCAGATTTGGATTCTGCATCCCTGAGATAGAGATCAATGCAAACTTAGCATCGCATTCTGGGTTAATTCGTGGGCAGGCAAATGGAGATTTCGCAGCAGCTGTAGACGAACTTGTTTCGCCCTATATGATTAAAGGTTGTGTATCAGTCACATTGTATGGTAATGGCTAGTCTACGGTATAGATCATTAGGGGAAAAAAAAGTGATGGCGACTTATATTTGGCCGTAAGGAATAGCTTTCGCTTCTACATGATACATAAGGTTATGATAATCTGGATCCCAATAGCTGCCTCATATTCTGCTTTCGCCCCTGGCCCTTCTGTTGGAGCGGGCACCGAATATCTCCTCACACATTTTGTTAGCATGCTCCTCTGCATCGTGATTCAATATCCAGTCTTCTCGTGGCAATTCGATAGCTTTGGGGTCGCGTTTTACATTATCCCAGCTCGCATTGTGCCATTTATCCCGAGTTGTTTTACCTGTTTCCTGCACCTTCTGTACACGATCGTACCTGCAATACCCAGTCAGAGGTGGCTCATATGTATAAGTGGATTTCAGGTCTCACCGAATCTTTTCGAAGGCATGTAGAGCGTCGGGGATCCTGTATTTTCCAGCCCGGCTCAGACAAATTGCGATTGTGACACCATCCTCTAGCGCCTGTGTTGCGCCCTGAGCGGATGTTGGAAGGAATGCATGAGCGGAATCTCCAGCAAGAGCAATACGTCCGTGTTTGCTGATCCAGGTAGGCAATGGGTCTTGCCAGATGAGTTTCCAATCGACCAGGGACGACTCGGGGGTTTTCGAAACGATGCGCTTGCAGATTGGGTCCCAACCTTCCAGGACCTTATAGACATCTGCAAGCTTACCTGGAAACGACCAGCGATCGCTAATTTCAGATGTATCCTATAATACGAGACATATTAATATTTCTTTGGACATGACACAACTCACGATCGTCGGGGTTAGCTGTGACCCACCTTATGCGTTAGTACCCAACAGACATCCTTGCCCCCTTTTAAGGATGAAACCAGGAGATGTACATCTGGACCAATCCAGCCATTGAAGGTATCTCCATTTTCACATATATGTCTAGTCAGGGGATCGGCGAGAATATCTTCGTTTGAAAACCTTTCGACCAGTCAGCTTCATCTAGCCCAATGACAGGAACCAGCGACAGACCAAGCGCGAAATATAGCATAACCGCTAGACTCAAGCTCTGTTTCACGACCTAGAACCAAGGCTCGAGCTTGGGAACGAACACCATCTGAGCCAATGACAACATCTCCATAAATCTAGCACCGGTCAGCTGAAGCTCCTGCATGTATCATGGTCCGTATGCACCTTTTCCCCTGAAGCGAGCTCGATTCCTGCCCCATTGGTGCTCTCGAAGTACCCAGTTACCTCGGAACCGAGATTAATAGGAATCTTTAGGTCGTCCCGAGCATAGTTGAATAGAATTTGGTGTAGCTCTCCCCGATGTCCATTAATCGTGGGGGCCTGTCGATTAAAGGGCATGGAAGGTTGTGTGTGGACATGCTCTCCCGTGTACTTGTGAATGCGAAACCCGTAGTTCTGGAGATTGATGCTAACAGGAAGCATGCGGTCAACCACCGGGCCCCATCGTGCAAAGATCCGGCCTCCATTACTTCCAAATGAGAGGATGTCACCCAATGGTTTCAATTCGGGAAATCGCTCATAAACTGCGACAGAGAGACCCTGGCGATGGCATTCTATGGCAGTGCCAAGGCCGGCGAACCCTTTTTCCACGGTTTTAGTGACATTAGAGAAGTGACCGGGAAGAAGGGGCTTTACCAGCTCCAACAATTATAACATGAATCCGCGATTTGTCGGACAGTGGGGGAGAGGACTTGGTGGTGGAGTCCATCGTATCGATGCGTGCAGTTCTTTGATGTCGCTAGAAGATAGTATAAGATGAAAGATTTTACCCACGATGGCGCCAGATCAATGTTATTAGAGACATTAGATAGCTTTAAAAAAAAAAAAAAAAACATCGACTATAGCATGTCATGCATTTGTTCAAGTACGCGTACCTGCCGAGGTAGTGTGGTGGTGTCTCTCCAAGCTCACTCCAGTGGCTTGTGGGGTACGAGAAATGTGGCGGACGAGGACACACGCGCTATAGCCGAGTAGCAACCACATCGGTTTCGATTTTTGCTCAAGCGTCTATGCTTGTACGTCATCATCTGTATAGAATGGGAAAGGCTTAGCCGTAAGCCCCTATCTGAAAGCGATAAATCCCCCGCATGAGGATATCTACACCCTACTCAGATCTTCTATGATTAAGGCCCTGCTTCTGGGTGCGCCGTTTTAACTTCTACGTGCTATCATCTCTACTGTCTCAAAAGCACATATTACATGATGGACACATCCAAAGGCCTTTAGGGCCATAGAGCTATGGAGCCTTCCCTGCATTTATCTGCTACGGATATACTGCTTGAGGCGGAACAGTCCAACCCTATAAGAAGTCATTCACAGTGTGCTTAGGTCATGCATACGGCTTGAATTGACGATGATGTTCCGATATGAGGTTTTTCAGATCTGTCATTGTGGGTGAATCACATCTTGAAGGCGTATATGGCCTGTCAATGACCGAGCTGGTGAGTTCAACATCAGATTGAACCGACGGATTATGCTGATTCCGCTGCCGTTCGTCAATTCGTCGAATGAGGATATTTAGCAATAACCAATATTCTGACGCGTTCTGAAAAAACCCCAACTGTCGCCAATAATCGTCAATATCCACAAAAATATTGTCCTCCTCCTTTGGTAGGCCAAAACTATCCTGTATAGCGAAGCGCTGATTCCAAGCTAACTTCCAGTTGTGGAGCGCTGTGCGCATAGGCTGGAGTTGGGTGTCAACACTGATAAGAGAATTAATCTGGAAGGCCTCGGCACAGAGTGCTGCACATATAACAGTCAGTGGTGGCTCTTATATGTCAAAGAAAATATCGCGTCGAAGGGGTGTTAGGATGTTATATGGGGCCATGTTCTAGCCACTGATAGCGGTGCGGTTCTTACCGGAACACACAATCCAAAGGTTCAGTATTCCCAAGTGGGAGAGGTAGGCTCGTATATCGACATTAACATCTTCACAGAACATGATCTGCACAATCTCACGCAGCGTCCTTCTGCACCCCCATAGAGGATGTGCTGTCCACCTTCTAATCGCAGTGAGGCACTCTGCTGCAGACTGTGCTTGAAAACAAGCCTCTGGACACGCCATTCCCAATGACATTTCTTGGATCCTCGTGCGGGGAGGGTAGTTGCTGAAGATCGCAAATCCGGTGTCATGGATATATATGAAAAGCATAGTCCTAGCATGACGTTAGCAAACTGTACGAATAGACCATTTTGTCGCTTGCACTTACCGAATACATTCCTCAGTCGCAATAAAGGTGTCCCAACAGAAATCGCCTCCGCGTACCGAGTCCAGATCGTTGTGTTTGATGCTGAACAAGTTTAAGTCTCTTGCCAACTAGTCTAAATTAGCGATGGAGATAACATGAACCTAAGCGAACTACTTACTGAAACAAGCATACTAAAACGCTGACGACGAATCCTTCGTCGGCTAATATGACTTCCTTCGCTGATTTGAAAAGTACAGACGCAGTATGCTGCTTGCAGGAGCTGTACGATGTCCCGTATGTTAATGGTAGCCGGGTCCTGCAGCATAAGATCCCCAAAATATTTGTTGCTAAATACCATCTCTTCCACACTATTCAGCCATAGCTTTACATTGTGGTTATCATTTGGACTTTGTGAGAAACATGCTCCCATGACTGCCATGGCTGCTGTGAGGTGCGCTGGAGCACTTGCGATAGAAAACGTTGGCTTATGAATCACTGGATAATGAGGATGCCATGCTGTCCAGTAAATCCTGATAAACCTCTCAACATTATTAGGACTGAAGAAACGAATGCAGTCCTTCTCGACCTGTGGCGACCATGTATGCATAATTCTTGAATGTTGCGAAAGGTTTCTGATTTGATGTATGATTTGGTATGCGGGTCCTGAAGACGGTGATGCCTGCGTAGAAGATGTCCAGGTGTGGTACCAGGGCTCGCAGGTAACAGCTGCAAGATCATTAGACATATGGGACGAAGAAATAGATCGTGAATTGAAGAGCATCGTAGGAGGGTCATATATTGGGCTAGCCGGTGTGAAAAGACCTGCTTTTGACGTGTCTAGGGAGTAATTGGGTCGGTGGTAATAATATTTTCAGAACAATACGAAAAGAAGAAACCTACTACCAGACCATGAATCACCGAGAGAAGAGGGAGGATCTGTAAATGGTAGTACTCCTTGCCTCGCGATAGTATCATCGGTCACTTCCGGCCCTTCCAACCCTCTCTTAAGTATTGCACTACAGTCATAACGGGCCTGGAGCGAAGCACTCTCCTTGCTGGAGATGCGGGCGAGGAAACTGAATGTATCAGCCGGATCAATGTCAATGCATGGAACACCAACAGCCGATGGCAATTGTAGGGAGTGGTTGTGCTCGACTCTGTCAAACAGAATGGGGTCCAGGAGCAACTGTATGTCTTCAAACTGTCTATTACTCCACCGGAGCTCAGCCAGGGAACTGTCCGGCAGGATGCAATGTCCATTGGTTTCCGTTTCTTGAATATCATCCCTTTGTTCAATCGATTGTGGGTGGCTCCCACCGGACCTTAGGCTGTATTTCTTGGTCGGCAGATTATTGATTTCATTCAGTGTACCCTGGTCTGGAGTCTCAACGCCATCCGTATTTGGCATCAGTTGTTGTTCTTCAGGTAGAGTGAGACTGGTTGTAGTAGCTCCTGCTTCTCCCACGGGGATGGTCCGGGATTTGAGTTGGCATTTGGCAAGGTGGCGTTTCATCACATCCCTTCAGTAGAGTCTCGTTAGTTTCTTGTAATATGCTCTATGTTGTTTCGGGGCCCATGTACTTCCGCATAAACTCCTTTCCACACTCGGGACATACTACTGCTTTCCCTACGCCATCTGAACACGATGTCTGTCAGCAAAGGAATGGCACAATATATCGAACCTCAATCGCCCACGTACGAGATCCAAGATGTCTTTGTAGGTGCTCTGTACGGGTGAATGACTTGGTGCACAAGGGACACGGAACCCTCCGTGCTTTCACCCTTCGTACGGCTTTCATGTCTTTCGGCTCTAGCTATCCTCACAAGGATGTTGCCAGTAAGAGTCCAGGGAAATGCGGTACTGAACATATGACAGATGAGGGAGCATGGAACGTCGTGACCAGTCTTCGACACCAAAAAAACCCCGATTAACGCGACTGCCCAGTGATTTTACCCCAGAAAAATAAATGCGGGGAAGCCCCGCAGGGAAATCTCAATTGGCGCATCTCTAACTCGTTGTAGGATAAACAGTCCACCCCGCATAAACAATTTAACTTGGTCGTAAAATCGATAGTCGTAGTATGATTTGATATGGTTTCTCAAGCCTAGCCCGCTGTTGATCTCCTTAAGGTACTTTACCAGGTGGCCTCTCGGGATACATCCGTCTTCGAGCCCTGACCCTAGAGTAGTATCAATCAAGCAAGATCCTTTCAACCTGCACGGGCTTAACCATTGAAGGTATATCTACGCAGGCGAATTCCCAGTGTGGCAGCACTTGTGCCACATGAGCCTGAGACCTCTAGAAGCCCAAGTTATAAAGGCCCGAAAGGTGTACTTAGGGCAATGGTGAGCATCATGTGCCGCTTCGAGAACTGCACACTCCAGCATGGTCATGAACCTCGACACCGGACATCCACTCTCTGCGTACCGTGGAGATATTATTGGTCCGGCATTTATTGTTAGAACTGATTGCCGTGACTGTATGCAACTTGGCTCTTTAGTTAGAAATCATGGTTGAAGACGATGTGGGGGAATTAACGCCACATCATAATGTGGGGAATGTGGGTTGGAAGTCTTCGTTCTCACCGGAGATTTCCGTTTGTTGATTCTCTGCCGAACCGAGACGAACAGAGCGCATACTATAGGATCTTGAGGGTTAGTTAGTTAAATATCAGTTCCTGGAGATGAAGGGAATACTGCCCTCCCCTTGGGCTCGGGGGTATAAAAGCTGGATGCAACAACAAAACTCTTCTCTTCGACATATCGTCGTTCAATGTATATTTGCCTGATTTACCAAGATGTCATTTCTTCAGCGTGCACCTGAGCCTGCCACCCCTCTTGGGCGCCTACGACCTCTTTCGGCGTCCGCTAGTATCCGAGTGTCTCCTCTACAATTAGGGGGTATGTCAATTGGAGAATCATGGTCTAGTTTCATGGGCAGCATGCCGAAGTCCAAAGCTTTCGAACTTCTCGATGCATACGTTGATGCAGGAGGGAATTGTATTGACACCTCGAACAACTATCAAGACGAGCAATCAGAGCGATGGATTGGTGAATGGATGAAGGCTCGTGGCAATCGTGATAACATTGTCATTGCGACCAAATACACCACCGCCTACCGAGACTATGAGCTTGGAAAAGCCTCTTATGTTAATTATTCTGGCAATTCGCGAAGAAGTTTACACATGTCAGTTCGAGACTCGCTTCACAAACTGCAGACAGACTGGATCGATATCCTCTATGTTCACTGGTGGGACCAAACCACCTCGATTGAGGAGGTAATGGATAGTCTCCATATTCTTGTGCAACAAGGCAAGGTGCTCTATCTGGGAGTGTCTAATACTCCAGCCTGGGTTGTATCGGCGGCAAACTACTACGCGAAGGCAAATGGAAAGACTCCGTTTAGTATTTACCAGGGGAGATGGAATGTTCTCCGCCGCGACTTCGAGAAGGATATTCTCCCGATGGCCAGGCACTTCGGTATGGCAATTGCACCATGGGACTCCATAGGTGGTGGGAAGTTCCAGTCGAAGAAGCAGCTCGAGGCTCGCAAAATCGCAGGCGAAGGCCTCCGCGCGATCGGGAATGCGACCCAGACTGAGGACGAAGCTAGAATGAGCGAGGCACTCGAGAAAGTAGCAGCTGAGCATGGAGTGGACTCGGTAACGACCATCGCACTAGCCTATGTGCTATCGAAAGCACCTTATGTCTTTCCCATTATCGGCGGGAGAAAGATTGAGCATCTGCAAGACAACCTCAAAGCACTGGAGATCCGCCTAACTGATGCCCAGATCGAATACCTGGAGAGTATCAAGCCGCTGGACTTTGGATATCCTACTAATTATATTGGAGAGGACCCAAGAATCACCGGCAAAGCCAGTGGGGTTTTGGCAACTACTGGTCCCCTTGCCTTTGTCAAGTACCCAAGTCCTATCAAGCCCTCCTTATAGTCATGGTAATCATAGTTTTAGACTAGCTCTTTGTGTCTCTTTGGAATTCTTACCAACTACGTATGGCAAGCATAATATGATCATTACCCCACATGTAACGCCACTTGGCTCGTACACGTCGGCAATTAGAACACTTGCATATTCCCCGCAGTACTCGGTTAAATTATCGTCTATCTCTATTTGTAACTAAGGTCTATGCTAGTGCTCTATAAGAAATTACGCGCTCTTCAAGACTTGTCCGTCGTGCCTCACCAGACCGTATCATGGATTATATCCACTCGCTCCCCTCCAACCCAGCCTGGGGGATTGGTTTCTGTATCATTCTCATCCCCCTGGCCATAATAATCCACGATGTGTACTTGTGGAAGTGCTTGCCTCCAGGTCCTTCCCCAATTCCACTGCTTGGAAACAAATTCCAAATCCCTTCCAAGCACCCTTGGATTAAGTTTCAGGAGTGGTCCAAAATATATGGCCCAATCTATACCATCTGGCTGGGCCGTCGGCCCACGGTGGTGATTTCTGACCCGTTGATCGCCTCCGAGCTCCTCGAAAAACGTTCTACAAAATACAGCACACGGCCCCGGTTTGTCACGATGGGTGAAATCTACTGGGATATGGCCAGCATCCTGGTGCAACCGTATGGCAAGGAATGGCTCATTCGCCGACGGCTCTTGCATTCGGCCCTGACGCCCCGAGCGCTAGAAAATTACAAGGCATTGCAGCAGGCGGAGTCGAGTCGATTATGCTATCAGCTACTAGAAGGTGCTCATGAATGGGAAGCACTGTTTGATCGGCTCGCGTCGTCTATTGTCTTTGCCGTCTCGTACGGGCACCGTGTCGACAGTGCTCAGTCCCCGGTGATTAAACAGCGGCTTGAATTCATGCAGTATGCCTCCAGTTTGAATGTCCCAGGGGCATACCTGGTGGAGTCCTTTCCAATGTTGAAGTATCTACCGGATTGGATTGCACCATGGAAGGCGGAGATCAAACGCCATGGTCGTCTCGAGGCTGAGGCAAACATGAGACTTGTTCGGGTGGTGCGACAGGATATTGAGTCCGTGAAACAGTCCCCAGGAGCAGAGCCTCTTTTCAATAGCTTAACCAAGCAGCTGCTTGAGACCAGAGATTCGGACCCGAAAGCATTTCCGTTGACTGAGCGAGATTTCAGCTACATTCCTGCTTCCCTTTTCGGTGCCGGATCCGATACCACGTCTTCCACTTTATGCTCAGCTATGCTAGCGATCGTGACAAACCCCACAGTTCTGGAGATAGCACAGGCTGAGTTAGATGCAGTGGTAGGACCTCATCGATTACCTACGTTCGAGGATATACCCAGCCTCCCATATCTCCGTGCACTTTGCAAGGAAATCCTGCGCTGGCGTCCTGTGGCTGTATTGGGTGGCACACCGCATGCTTGTTCCGAGGATGATTATTATCGTGGGTACTATATTCCTCGCGGAACGGTGATGTTGGGAAATTCGTGGGCAATCAATATGAACCCTAAGTATTATCCCAATCCGAATCAGTTCAATCCTCTTCGATTTCTAGGCATGGATGCGCATTTGTTGCCTTATCTCCCGAAGGAATACATAGCATCGGTTGAACAAGGAAAGGGTTCTGCGCATCCCAGCAAACTTGGTCATAGCTCATTCGGCTGGGGTCGTCGCATCTGTCCTGGCGCAGATCTTGCAACTAACACTCTACTCATTACGCTGAGTCGGCTACTGTGGTGCTTCCATATTCGACCCATTCCTGGGCAAACCTATGACACATTAAATTATACGAATGGGTTCAACATCAGGCCGCGGAACTTGCATCTGAGCGTGCAAGTTCGCTCCAATCAACATTGTCACATAATAGAAAGGGAATACGAATTGGCGACTGAGTTTCTCAAAAGGCTTTCGCCCTTTGATGAAAGCATGTTGTAAGGCCCCTGTTGACGGGTTTGGCGCTTCGACCGAGATTGCAGGTGAAGAGTAAGTTGCGTTGGAAAGAGAACTAAATCGGCTGGTTCCTAGCCGAACTCTGAGGACGCCAGACAAGACATTAAGTCACTCGCCATGAATCTTTGGGGTGGAGGATTATCCTATAGCAAGCAGCCTTTGCCGTTAGATTTGGTGTTGGCCGCCACAAAAGAGCCAATACAAGCAGACCCTGTATGGAAGTCACACTAATAACCAATCCCTTCATGGCCTACTGTATAGTATTATCCTTTATTCAAGGAATGAAGATGAGTTGATTAGTATAGGCAGATATGGCCGAGCAGCAGAACTGAACCAGGAGGTTGATTATATTACTGTTGCCAATATCCAGGGATATGATAACCATGTATCCTATGTACAGTATTTTCACAGTCTCTAGACTAGAGCCACAGTTCTTTGAGACTGTCTTGATTCTCGAGGTCCCATGCCCTAGTGATAATTTGCTGGATCCGATCTGCGTCTTTCACCTCACCATACTGGGCCAGAGCCTTAAATTTGGTCTCTATCTCCGTTCTATGGCACCGTCCAGTCAGCTCAACTAGAATCACTCACCACCATGGGGATATTCTATTGGACATACCTCGTCAATGGACTTTGTGGATCTCCTTTCAAATACTCCACAAACTTTTCATATCTCTCACCAGACTTGCAAGTTACAATTACCTTGCCCTGCCACTTTTGCGGGAATGCCGCATTTATATCCTCGTCCAATTCCATCCTAACACGTTCCTGGAAATTCCTCAATGATGCATCGTGCAGCGCTTCCTCTGTGAAATCCGTTATCAATGCCTGCCCCTTCTGCGCCGTTACGGCGAGAACGAATCCCATATTGAATTTACTCTGGTGGACCGTTTCACCACGTCCACTGAGCCCGAGTACGTCAAATGCTGCTTGATATGTTCTCGTTACGACCGAGTCAATATCTTCGAATTTAATCTCATGTGTGGAAAGAATCTGCAGCAATGCGTCGACGCTTGGATGTGTATGGCGGCAGGACGCGTGCCATTTGAAACTACTTCCCAGCACGGCCCAATCAAGTCCGAGGTCTGTATCAATTGCGGTGGGGATAGGCGTATCGGGGACGAGCGCGACACCCATGCCCTTAGGCCCTTCCAGCACATCCTTAGGCCCTAATAACCCGGATTTCGCGGCGTAGGTGGCGAATATTCCATCGAAGCAGGCCTTGCCCGTGTGAACTTGCTTTGAATGCGTAGCATCCAGGAGAAACTGCCATAAGCCCGATGCCTGGGTTCCCGCAGTTCCGATCGATGATAGCATGGCCGCGGAGTCGAGACCCAAAAGACGGGCTGTTGCAGCAGCCACACCAATGACCCCGCCAGTTGCAGTGGAATGGAAACGCTGTTAGGACCAGGTCAACGCGATCGTCTGGTGTGAAGAATTGAAGGTGGGCATACTGCGTAGTGACTCTTCCCAAGGAATTCTCCCACCCGGCATCCTACCTCGTATCCAACCACGCAAGCCGTAATGAAGTCTCTTCCATTCGCATTTAAATCCTGCGCCACGGCCAAAGCAGCAGGGAAGATAACCGTCGCAGGATGCATAATACTCCGATTATGCAAATCATCCTGCTCCACAACGTGCGATGAAGCCGCGTTCACCATTGCTGCAAAGGCAGGGCTTGTGCTGAAACCCAGCTCGCTATCTACCAACTCACTTTTCCCGGACGTGGGGCCCATCTGCTTCACAAAGGTGGCAATGGCCTTCACAGCAGGGTGATGACGACCAGCAATGGTGCACCCGAACCAGTCCAGGAAGAGGTCTTTGGTCCGCTGGATCACATCCTGTGGGATGTCATCATATTGCAGTCCCGAGGCCCAGGTGGCTAGACGCTCTGTTCGGGTTGTCATGATTACACAGTCTGCGTATAAATATACACGAAATAATAATATTCTGTCTTCGACATCGCAAACAAGATCATGGAGGTGCTCGATCCACGCATGTATGAATAAACCCCACCCTCGGACCCTCGGCAATGGTTAGAAATAGCCGGTGGTGGGGTCAAGAAGCCTTTATAAAAGATCGGCATCGCAATATTAAATGACACTACGTTGGCTACTGTTGGGAAGTTTTTTAAATCTGGGTCATATCTATAACGATGTGTTCAGGACAACTTGGCACTCATGAATTGTCTATAACATGAATTAATTGTATTTCTAGCGAATCAAATCAACGAATGACAAGTATTAAGTACTGGAAATCTCTTTTCCACCCACTCATGGAACCAAATCAAAATTACATCCTCCCATAAATTCGACTTCCAAATGTCTCCTCATGGATCAATCACAGCTGGATGGTGTAGTCACCGTCGTACTTGCAGTCCTTGTAGACGTGGTCCTCCGGGTTGTCGACGCAGTTCCACTTCCCATCGTTCTCATCCAGATAAGCACGGCCACCGATCGGGTTGGGCTCAATACGCTCAATGGCAAGGGTGAACTTTCCGAACTCGAAGCCATCGGGGAACTGGATAAGATGCTTGCCGTCGTTGCATCGAGCATTTTCCTCTGGTTCCTTCGCGCTCCTGTGTATAGGACGAGCTGGTCAGTAATCCAATATGTATATTTTGTGACAAAAAAGATGTAACTCACCAGATGAGGTTGCAATCAATTGAGGCATCACCGTCCTGGAGCTTGAAGCTCATGGTGTTGGAGAGAGACCCGCGCGCCTTGAGATCGCTGATCACGAACGAGCCATCGCGCTTGGTGACAATGGGAGTAGCAATGGCTGAGGTAGCAGCCAGGATAAGGGCAGCAATAGAGAACTTCATTGTGGAAGAATTGAATTGTAAAGGTATTCTGAGAGGAGAAGTAGATCGTAGTGTTTATTGAGGTTCGTTGTTGATGAGGTTGATGAGAGTATATGCCCCGGTGATTGTGTCTGTATTTATAGATTTTCACAACTCTTGAAGATTTTATGTTTTTACCCAGAAGGGCTTGACACCTGACAAGCACAGGAACAGAAAGTTACCTGTGTTCCACGTAGATTTGCCGGCGTAGCTCAAAGTGGACTTCGCCATAATGCCAAGCAGGAGCTACTGCTGTAAGGCGCCCTAGGAGTCTCGACCCGAGGAACACAACACCGTGATCCCCGTAGAAGCATAGCCAGAATAGTAGAGAAAATATATTTTAAGGCCCTCTCTAAACTTTGACCTCTGTAAGGCGACCAAATACGGAGCGGCCAATACCCCCCCCCCCAGGCGGCCTAATCACGACAACTAGGAATATCGATTCGTTGCTGTGCAAATTCTCCAGACTAGTAAACCACCACGGATGCTCCTGCTCTCAGCAAATGGTTTACTGAACAATATATTGGTTGCGGATGGGCACAGTGTCCTCAATCGCGAGTGAAGCTGCATCAAACCCATCAGTGGGTGGTGATTGTTTCCGTAACTGATGTACTATAGATTTGCTTGTCAGGTATTATTCTCATTGATTACACGGATACATTGCTATGTCTTGTATTTCATTTCCCATTGGGTATATTGCCTTGCCCTTCTATCAGTGGCTGATATGTCTGTTAAAATCGTAGGCGTTGGAGGGGAGGAGTTATTAAAAGATTCAACCCTATATTTAGTATAGTTAAACTGAGTAATTTCAGTTGAGGCCATAGGATTCACTAGACCACGTACACTAGCGCTATCACGATATCTTCATAGCTTCCAGTGTTGATCAGACATCGTAAATGGGGATTGCCGATGCCAGTGTGGCTGAGTAACAATGTAAGTACCAAAAATCCACTCTTGTGCGCATTGATCGGACGCCTTAACCAACACGAGGACCAATTCTATTGGCTTTTGTTTTTGCAGATCATATCTTCGTATGCTTGGGGTTCCCCACATTCCGCCGTGGCGATGCCTCGTAACCAACAATCATGGCCCACCTCTTCATATTGGAACACGTCGTGATGCAGTTGACCATTCTTGACGGGTCGCCTCTATGGATACAGGTTGCCTGAGGATGTTGATGATGATACTGTTACGTCTATCTATCCAGCGTCCCGAAATCCTCACAGGGCTGAGCTTAACCTTCACTTTTGCGATTTCTATTTTTAGGAATATACCTTCCAAGGGCGATTCCCACACGATGCATATAAAGGCTTTGTGCCAACCATGTCTATGACTAGAAATCAAATCAGACAGGCTCAGAATCTAAACATAACCCCATAACTACTCCAAGCTGTCCACTACTCCCTTGAATATATCAACCTCTGTCACAAATCAATTACCATGCAGCTGTCAATTTTTACCGTCATCATCCCTTCCCTTGCGGCGTTCGCTAGTGCTGCCACCTCTGAGAAGCGTCAAATCTCCTCAGTCTCCATCTTCTTCTACACCCCGGATGGTGAAAAATGGTCCCAGACCTTCCCAACGGATATGAGCTCGCATCAAGTTGGTATGTTGAAAACCCCCCGCCCACTACGACCCTTCAAACAATCGATCTAACGCCCAATTAGAAACCAAGAAGACGGTTTCTCATATCTACAACCCTGGTGGAGCGATCTGTGGATTTGGTGGTGTAAATGGAGAGAGGGTGGATGTTCCAATTGGGGACCACAAGCTGGAGACTCCTCAGGTCCTGACGACGGGAACCTGTGCTCATCTCTAGGAGCAGACTTTTTGGCTTCCGTTTATTCGTGTATTTGGTTAAGGAGATTTTGATTTAGAGCCAGACAGTACGTGCCACGGTTACATAATATAGCATTTAAGGTGAACGATCTATGTTTTCGAATAATCACATTGTGTTGTACCTCCCGAATACCGTTACCATGTCCATTATACGTAGTTCTAACAGCAGAATGGTGCTCGGCATTAGGGCGAGTCTCTCCTTCAACGGTCTCTTTCTTGGCTTAGCTGGTTGGTGATTCTCCTCGAGATTTAAGGCACCATTAAAAGCATCCACCCGGTTTTCAGCCAATGCAACATATGTGATGAATACATACCTGAGCAGATATGGCCTCCGAGGGAGGAACCATGGGAAGGAATACCGGGGGAACTAATGCTGTTATATCCAATACCCATATAATCAGTCCTTCAGTAAAGTCAAGAGGGCTCTGATATAGGAGACAGAGTCTAGCCCAGGCAAGATGTATATTCTAGGTAAATAAAATACATCAGAGAGAAAAGAATACGCTATAGCTATAGAAAGGCTTCGGGTGAGTCCTTTACTTCGCTTTGAATCCACCGTCGGGGATCCAAGAGGGAGCCACTGGTATGGCCAATAGTAGGTTGACTTTCTTGCAGTTGCTATGCTCATCGACACGTTATATTATCACCCGGGCATGCTTGACATGTTTCGCATGATCGGCACCTGACATCAGGTCCAAGACATCGTAAAGCAAAAAGTGTTGCGATTTCTTCCGTCTCGACATCCGCCAAGATTACGTTTCCTGGGGATTCCGGCAGGGAGCCCTGATTGGGCCGGATGCTAGGATGATCCGGCCGGTGAGTGGGCGCGTACTTAAAAAAGTCCCACCGTAGCCTCAGGCTAACACGTTTTTCTTGTGCAATGAGCTTCCATATAGAGCCCCGACACAATATATACTAGGCTTAAATCCTTATATCAACGTTTCGTGATGAATAAGGGTATAACTGACTAAAGGCGGCCTGAAAGGTGAAATCAGACTCCAACCGCTTGAATACGATGTCTCTGTTAACACTAACCTAGGGAAGGACAAGATATATATCTATCTGGTTCCCACTCCACCGGCAGTAATCAGGGAATAGTACTCCTACGTAGTTCTCCACGCTCAACGATTACTCCACATAGTAGAGAGAGTTACTAGACTAGTCTGAACGTGGTTAACAGCGGAATGATCCAATGTATAATTATTATTGGATTGACTTGCCTGACCCACAATGACAGCTCTGTGACATCATAGGGCCAGGGGAAAACGAGGAACCAGGATAGATAGATAGATAGGTAGACATCTATACGATGCCCCGGATAAATTCTACAGTCTGTCCATCTACCCTCGATACACTAAACTCAGCAGAATAGAGCTGGACACAAACAACCAGAAGATGTCCCTGAAATCGGCGTCCAGCGTCCTGGAGGGCGCCACTGATAAGACAACGACGACGACTGCAGCCGGCTCCGCACTCACGGATAGTGCCGTGCCAACTGCGCAACGACACGCGAAACATCTTGGTACGACTGTTACCCAGCCTACGAGTCTGACCACGCCGGGCGAGTTTCCCGGTGAAAAGACGCAAGACGATGCCGCCGCACAAGACACATCGGCAGGTCCGTGGTATGAACCGATGACGGCATGGCTCCGAGACGTCGTCCCAAACACATTCGATTGGTTCGAATCCACCGTGAAATGGCTGCTTGCTTGGATCTTTCCCCCTCCTCGCCAAGCGGCAATCTTTGAAGCGGCACTGCAAAAACCCTATGCTACATCATTCCTGGTTTGTCAGCTCATCTGCTGCGGGGTGCCGTTCTTTATCTTTTTGGCCGGTACATTTGTGTTCGCGGCCGTGGCTGTACTACTCTGGGCTATACTATCATTCGTCATCTTGGGACCAATCCTCTTGGTTGCGTCCATGATGGGGGTATATCTGTGGAGTTGGGGCTTGGTCTTGTATGCTGTCATCAAGTGGGTGGACAGAACATTCCTCGGGGGAGTGATTAGCAAGTTCTGGCTTTCACAGGTGCCACGAGAGGAACAGCCTCAGGATATTCAGGAGGACCATGAGCGAAAACAAAAAAAGGAAGGAACAAAAGAAACAAATTGAAAGGACGGTTGGGTCAAAGGGCTTCCTCGAGGAAGACGATTGGAGGGACAAATTAAAAAGTAGTATTGACATAGGACAGGACGGCAGTTAGCGAGGAGGGTAGGATGATACTATTCGAAAGGACGTAGACAGAAAAGCGCGCCTAGTCAAACCAAGGAAATGGTGCATCACGGATCAACCTATCGTGCCACCGCAACGCCCGAAGCCCGACTGTTTCATAGGCATATTGAGTTTATAATCTGATTAGTCGCGTTTCTGTGCAAAGCCATCTGTGCAAATGATAGGCATAAAGTATATTTTTCAAAGTGCGGGGTGGACTCGACCTGCTGATACGCTTGCTGATTGTCCTTTGGGTAGGCTTGCTTGAATGGTCAGAACCCTAATAAACTCTCCCGGATGACCACCTGCATGATATTTGCACGACATGCGCTAATGCAAACAAATGCAGCCTGTTCGCAACTGCCTTTGTCCTGGATACAGGAGTCCCTTATTGAATTGAGCGTTTAAACACCAGCTTAGCTATGTAGGCAATACCCTTATGGCTTCACGATGCTTTATACCACAGCGTTACAGATGACGATGGCAAGGGTCATGAGGCATAGACAACCCGTGTACGGTGTAACATATACATCAGCATGTGGCAGCAATCCAAGTCTCTGCAATGAACATGACTGAACAAACCAGAGAATTAGACAAAATTGATCCCAGACCTCCAAGTGGTTGCTGTATATGTAACACCCGGCAATCTCTATCTAGCCAATGTCAGCGGGCTGGACCTCCCTAGAGTATAGCCGTAGGGTAACATTGGGAATGGTGGTACAACACAGAAGAGTATCATGGTGTGTCGATCACTTGGCTGAGGGGTGCTTCAGTAGACATTCCATTTTGACTGAGCCACGCTGGAAGAATGGGTGGGGACATATTGAATTCGCTCGCTCAATGGGCCTAGCATCCGCATAAATAAAGCCTGGAAAACGACTAAGAAGCAATGTAGAGACCAACCTCACCTCAAGAATAGAGTAAACAGTGACTGATCATGATTTGCAAAGCTCTTTGTGTCATTACGAGCCTTTTGGCTGTAATCTCAGGTCTTGCTACCCCAGCTGAGCTGATCGCTCATGCAGAACCTGGCAAGTATGTCTTTGCTCACTTTATGGTTAGTACGATTAGGCCTTTCCCCATGGATCATTCATGACATACCATAGGTTGGCATTGTCAAGAACTATCAGTTAGCCGACTGGATCGCCGATATGACTACTGCTCAAGCAATTGGCATCGATGCATTCGCTCTTAACTGCGCCAGCATTGACATTTATACCCCTGATCAGCTAGCACTTGCTTACCAGGCGGCCGAGAAGGTCGGCTTTAAAGTCTTTATCTCCTTTGACTTCGCTTATTGGAGTAATGGAGATACAGACAAAATCACCGCTTATATGCAAAAGTACGCCGCCCATCCGGCGCAGATGCAGTATAATGGAGCTGCGATTGTAAGTACGTTTGTTGGAGACAGCTTCAATTGGGGGCCCGTAAAAAAAGGAACGTCGCATCCCATTTGGGCCCTGCCTAATCTTCAGGATCCGGCAGAGGCGACGAGCGGTGCTGCCCGGTCCATCGACGGTGCTTTCTCCTGGTATGCATGGCCTACCGATGGGGGAAACAGCATCATACCCGGACCGATGACGACTATCTGGGATGAGAGGTTCGTTAAAGATCTGGCTGGACGGACATATATGGCTCGTTTGTCTCCCATCCTCGTTATACGTATAAAGGTAACATTGCAAAGCGGTCTCGCCGTGGTTCGCAACCCACTTCAACTCTAAAAATTGGGTTTTCATCTGTGAGAGTCTTCCTACCCTTCGTTGGGAACAGATGCTTCAGCTTCAGCCAAGCCTGATTGAGATTATCTCATGGAATGGTAAATTACCCTCCCAGAAGCGTACCTCAATAGCTAACGGAGAGTAGATTATGGTGAATCCCACTACATCGGACCATACTCCGCCAATCATAGTGACGATGGCTCCTCCCAGTGGGCAGCGGGAATGCCGCATGATGCCTGGCGAAACCTCTACAAGCCTTTCATAAAGGCCTACAAGTCAGGTGCAGTGGTTCCTATCATAGAAGAGGACGAGCTTGTCTATTGGTACCGTCCGACGCCGAAGAACGTGGCTTGCACTAATGATTCCCTACCCCAACCGAACGGTGTCAGCATGCTCCACGATAGTGTCTTTGTGGCTACTATGTTGAGAGAGCCAGCCACGTTGATTGTCACGAGTGGTTCTAACCAGCCAGTGTCTATTGAGGTACCGGCGGGGATTGTCACATCGAATATCAGTATGGGTGTGGGTGCTCAGAAGTTCTCAGTGCTACGTGGAGGGAAGACTATCATGAGTGGCAATGGTGGATTGGAAATTAAGGATAATTGTAAGCATTGGAATTATAACGTTTATACTGGTTCAGTAGCAAAGGATGGTTGAAGTGTTCGCGGTCAGGTTGGGAGTGAGAGAAGGCAGTCATCGAAGTCATTGTATGCGCAGACAAGATTGGGAAATGTTTTTGGAGCGCTCAAATCACTCCCAGTTTCTTCTCAGGGAAACGATAAGTGTATAACAGCGGGACAACGTGCTTATAAAATGTTACTTTGGTCACAAACCTAACGCGAGTGAATGAGATAAACCCATATATCCCAGGCAATTGAATTGCAAAGATGAAAATGAAGGTCTGATGGCAATACGCTCAAGCTAAGGCCAAACCAGAGACTCCATTTCTAAAATAATAAGCCACAGAAAGCCGGCACCTCCAAGCGATTGAATGTCAATACGACCAATTAAAACGCCAAAATGTATATAGGGAACCTAGTGGCAGTTGGTGACTTCTTCTTCCCACTCCTCCTCATCTAAGAGCACAACATCTCTCTGACCATATACCGTCTCCAGCTCAACATCCCGTAAAGATCTTAACGCCCTATGGAGTCCTATCTGAGCGTCTCTTATTGGGGATGTTTGGCCACTCGGTGGGGATATTTATACTTCACGGCTGAACGGCCACAATACTTGCAGGAGCGAGAGTCCAGAAAGGTTCAATGGTGTCAACCAATCGGCACAGAGGCAGTGTACTATTTTTAGATCAATATGTAGCTTATCTACGCGTTTGGGAGGCGCTACTTGTTCCTGCTTGTACTCGTATACGATGACGGGGGTTTTGCTTTGGGGCCCAAACCTAGTAAATGCACAATGCAGTCGAGAAGTGCCGTTGTATTTATCTCAAAACGATTCGTTTTGAACGTGGGCTGCGATTTTACCCATTTCCAGAGGGCTGTAAGTGCAGACTAATACTTGTGAAGACTATGAAAGTTGGCGCTGACGATGTACATGGTAAACCCCAAGCATTGAAGAAAAGCTGGAATGTCCAGCTCTGGTCGGACCATATGTCCTCCAAGGTCTAATTATCAAGAGTTGGAGAGACCATGAAAAACAAACTAGTCTCCAATAGCATAATTGGTAAGTTAAGTTCCGATCGCGGGTTGGATTTACCAGCAAGAGTCATAATATCAAAGAC